ACAGATCGTACGTGCACTTTTGTATAAAACGAGGGTTTTGTACTGCATTGCAAACAATCTGATGACGATTTTGCGTTATTGATGTTATTGTAAATAATAGAGTCTCTGGATTGACAGATCAGTGGTGTTGTTACAAATATCTTAACAAACGTCCAATGAATTCAGTTCACAAATAGGCCTAAAAGATGACGAAATATTGCAAGACGAAGTTGTCAGACATTTAAAGGTAATGACTGGTTGAGGCACATCGAGATCTGTTCGTGGACTGACTGGTTGTGAGTTACGGAGATTTGTACGGGCAATGACTGGTTGTGAGACATGGATATCTCTACATGGACTGACTGGTTGTGAGATATGGAGATCTGTACATTGAGTGACTGGTTGTGAGATATGGAGATCTGTACATGGAGTGACTGATTGTGAGACATGGAGATTTGTACATGGAGTGACTGGTTGTGACATATGGAGATCTGTACATGGAGTGACTGATTGTGAGACATGGAGATTTGTACATGGAGTGACTGGTTGTGAGATATGGAGATCTGTACATTGAGTGACTGATTGTGAGACATGGAGATATGTACATGGAGTGACTGATTGTGAGATATGGAGATCTGTACATGGAGTGACTGATTGTGAGACATGGAGATCTGTACATGGAGTGACTGATTGTGAGACATGGAGATTTGTACATGGAGTGACTGATTGTGAGACATGGAGATTTGTACATGGACTGACTGATTGTGAGACATGGAGATCTGTACATGGACTGACTGGTTGTGAGACATGGAGATTTGTACATGGACTGACTGGTTGTGAGACATGGAGATTTGTACATGGACTGACTGACTGATTGTGAGACATGGAGATTTGTACATGGACTGACTGATTGTGAGGAGATTTGTACATGGAGATTTGTACATGAGACTGACATGGACTGACTGGTTGAGATGGGAGATTTGTACATGGACTGACTGGTTGTGAGACATGGAGATTTGTACATGGACTGACTGGTTGTGAGACATGGAGATTTGTACATGGAATGACTGGTTGTGAGACATGGAGATTTGTACATGGACTGACTGGTTGTGAGACATGGAGATTTGTACATGGAGTGACTGATTGTGAGACATGGAGATTTGTACATGGAGTGACTGATTGTGAGACATGGTGATTTGTACATGCAATGACTGGTTGTGAGACATGGAGATTTGTACATGCAATGACTGGTTGTGAGATATGGAGATTTATACGTGGAATGACGAGTTGCGAGCAATGCAGACCTAAAGTTGACGCATCTACACAGATTCGCCAGATATTTTCAATGGGGTTTGTGCAGACGGGTCCGCGGGATGACCTCATTAACCTCTGCGATGAGTTATGGCTTCAGGCCAGAACAGAAATCATTGACAGTAATTACCTCCAGGGACTAGCGTGAATATTCACCAGAGCCCTCTTGTAACTGCTGTATCTATGGCGCCTGTGTGCAAACAAATGCATTCCTGAATCGTAGATCTGATGGTTATGAGTATCATCCGTCTTCCACAGATGAGGTTTATTGGAAGGCATGTTAGCCTTGTTGAATGTCAGTGGAAAGGACATATTAATACATGTGATGTGTCCTTGCTTAGAGTTTTATACACATCCTTTTTTTACATGTTTTTCATATGCTTTATTTCATTTCCAAAATCATGCGCAGTATAACGGCTATGTCTGTTCAGACTTATGTAAAATATATTTTCTAAATATCCTGAATCAAGTAATGAAGGTAAGAAATTTTTGAAAAATCGATAAATCACTCACTGTTCTATTTTTCAAACAACAAACTTACTTTGTAATTGTAAAAATTAAAAAGGTAGAATTTTAGCTTTTCAAATTATTTGTAGTTCTGGTCTTTGAAAATGCTTTCTACGACCAGAAAGGATGTCCCGAATCTATCCTGAAGGCCGAATGATAATGCATATGACATGGTACGGGTTTATTTACAAAGGTGGTGGTATTTGCAGTTGCAGTTGGTGAAAACCGAATGAAATATACATAATATCATGCCGAGCCATTAGGAGGGACAACTCCAACTTTCCAGTTGTCAACCTTCGTTTATACCGTGCAATATTCCAGAAGCCATTGCCTTTGTAACCTACACTTCCAAACGTTTGAAGACGAATCAAGCATGTCCTTTCTACGAAGAATTCAAAAATCTCTAAGGACTTACAAAGCCTTCTTATCCAGGTTACAATACCCAAGGCTTCAGTAAAACTCTCAAAACGTTTTCTGGTAAGGGACCGTTCATAATCTATGGCAAGGGGGGGTGATGATGATTTTTATGCAGAAGCATGTACAATGTGAATGGACCCCCCCCCCCTTAAAATTTACGTACAAAGTAAGTGACCCCCCTTTCATTTCATGTGCAAAATCAATGACCCCCTCCCCCTTCCCATAAGTTTTAAGCATAATATTTAAATATTTTTATGTACAAAATTGTTGACCCCCTAGTACCTGTGTACAAAATTGCTGACCCCCTACCACCCCAGAACGAAATGGGTGAAACACCCCACCCACCCCTTAAAAAATCATCATCATCACCCCTTAGCCATAAATTATGAACGGTCCCTAATCAAGCGGAAATCTGACGCATTATCATGTTCTATTCCCTGTTTTGACTTGAACCGTCTTATTTCTCAGATGAGAACCACTGGGGAGTGTAAGCAAAAGGGTTTTAACTTAGAAAAGATAGCAATAGAGTGAGACGAGAGTGAGTGAGTTTAGTTTTACGCAGCTTTTAGCAATATTCCTCTGACTTTCCGGTTACACTCCTTATACCTTTGTAGGTGAAAAGCAACGAAACACATGGGTATAGAGGGAATGTATGGATAGGTGACTTGGCCCTAGCTGTACGCGAGGCAGTATTCTAACCACGTTGCAGCAAGGAGCGCCTCAAATGGACTTCACAAATCATACCTACAACAGAAAACAATTCATCAAAGTAGATATTTGTATAAACCGATAGGTGAAAGAAATTATACATTTAAACATTTGGATTTATAAAACTTTATCAAAAGGTTAATAGGTTAACGCTCGCCCAACACGGCAAGCTTAAGATCGAAGCCCGAACCTTGATAGCCGTATCAAATATCTCACTTGGAAAAAATATTTATTGTTTATTTCATTTTAGACCACATCAAACATTGGTTAATTTGAATGGTAGTTCATATCTGTCACAAATAGACATTAATTAATTATGATACTGAATTCACACGTTTACTTCCCACCTTCAATAAATGGTAATAACGTGACTCATGTCCTAGGTTATTGGTTGTATTGAATTGTTAATGAGCCAATTGCCGGGGCTGTGAGACGGGTACTATTACCATTACGTCATCACGACACCTGATTGTGGCGGCTGCGGCCAATACACGTTCTCCGTATACTGAATGTTGTCGTACAGTTTGTAGTACATGGGCATCGGACCATAGACTATAACCATATTCTGTCATCAAACATGTATGTGTAAAGTTGTTTAGAAACAATCACCACGTTGCCTGACTCAACCCTCGCTTTATACGCTTAGTTGGTGCTGGATACTTTCAATATACCAGACATTACACGCATGAGTGCCAAGGCAATGGTTAATGTGTGGTGTGACTGGACAGAGGGTGTTAAATGCATTCAACCAGGAAATCATTTGCAGGTCTTAGACCTCGGTAGTCGAAGGTCATGAGAGTGGGGGTTACTGTCAAGATTACAGCACCTATGTATATCTGTGCTGTTGTTGTTGTTGTTGTGAGAGAGAGAGAGAGCAGAGAGAAGAATAATCGGAGATTTGTTTGGGATTACACTTTCTCAGTAAAGTACAGATTCTAGTACTTTTGTTAGGTTGAATCCCATCCGTCAGGCACTAAATCGCCAGCACACAAAGTCAGCCGCCTAACCGACTCAGCCATCGCAGGGGAATGTAATGGAGTTGTCGGGTGTTTGAAACAAAGGCAAAGTTTAAAATTGATCACATTCAGGCCAAAACACTAATGATGATCTTCTGTTATTATTGCACACTACCCAACAACATGTGAGAAACATGTCTCTAGATGTAATACTAGTGTTACGTTATGAGGCATCGTGCGTTTTGTGCTGTTGTTTTTAATTTCACGATGAAGTGAAATTTGCAGAATGTACAGATATTTGCACAATTTGCACTGGTCCTCTGAACATTAGAAGTTGACTGCTGCCATTGATGGTCTGGGGGGAAAAGACCGTCATGATTTACACAAATGTTGGTCTTGATAACTGTCTGAGTGAATCTTTGTCGTCGTTATCAAGTTTGCTGTGACATGCTGCTGTACAACATACTCCATCAGCCACGATACCCCACGCCGTATAACAATGAACCCTTGTTGTCAGTCATTAACTACTTTCGATATGATTGCATCCATTTATCAGCTGTTCCCACGCATTCACCACGGCGGATCGGTAGCTGACCGCAACTGAATTAAATGCGTCCTGTGCAGGGCGTGAAGTAAACTGTACTCCGCTGTACCCGGCACGAGTCAGCAATAGCGCTGTTACTTGGCATCCGTGCTACCCTAACTGATACAAAAGCGATGTTATTGATTCACTTAAGTAAACATATTTATAATTCCCGCCGGTGTGAAGCTGATGGATCTGTAGATCACTATAGAGGCAACTGATTGAGCTATCAGTACCGGGCGTTGGAAGTTACACGGTACCGCGAGCTTTAGTGGACAGGGCACTTCCACGGGATGAGTCTGTGAGCTTTACAGAGGACCGGTCGAGTTTTCGACAATATATTGATGGCTTCAGTAAATTGGAATAGTTTTACTGCGTTGGTTTTGTGCCATTCTTTTACATGAAACTAAGGGATGTGGTTGATGTCGCTCTGTAAGCTGGTAGAGGATAGAGGACAGAAGCACACTTTGAAGTGATCTGTTGTTCTTAGTTGATGCACTGGAACAGGATCGCACTCCATGTAAACAGGACCTGTTGCTGCCTCTGACGCTTATGATGTCAATGTTTCTGCAATTTGTCACTGTCTTCTCATCGACTGAACTGATGATTGGGTTCAAACAATGAAAATTAATCTGGTACTTTAGACACCTCGGAATTAGCAGTTCATCATGTTTGGCGCATGGTGCTTATATTGGTTTCCTTGTGTGTAATGGTAGATAAACTGTGACGTCTTCTCCACGTCTTCTTGTTACCGTTGTGTTCACAACCTGCATCATGGGCAAGTTACAGGACTTCTGTATACGACTTGACAACTCCAGGACGGTGTACACGTCGGGGGAAGTGGTGTCGGGGATGGTTGTCGTTACCATTAGCGAGCCCATGAAAATGAGAGGTAAGAGTTTCAACAGCGTAAATATATCAACAGTGATGTATTAACGTTTTAAGTACATATATCATGTGTATAAACTAAAACATTAAACTGTCTATATTAAGGTGTTTCAAACAAACTACTTATATGATCATAAACACGTTATCACATCTTCATGTCTTTGATGCTCAGTGCAAAACGTAGTGGACCTGCAAAGTGAAAAAATTACTATAATATAATAGATACAAGACACATCATCTCTAGACATCATATTCTTCTGTCACAGAATTAATGATCCAATCAATTAGTGACATTTCAATGTCTGTCTGGGCATGAGAAATATATCACTTTAAGATACTAAATTAATGGTTTGTGGAACATGATTACTTGGAGCAGCTATTGCAGAAAGGCAAGATAAGGTAAAACCCATAGTCTGTATCATACTGGCCACGTTTTCTTCATCAAACTGTATGGTTGCTGCAATGTATGTGGTCCAGTCGCTACGCATGGCACGTCTGTGTAGCATAAGAAGCTGGGACCATGACTTCAGCTAGGTCCGGAAGCAGCGGGGGCTACTCCACAATAAGCGTTGTTACAGACATACCACCTGATGTTACAGACACATACCACCTGATCGAGGGTTCTTCAAAGCTAACAGAAATGCGGTAGGTCGGGAGCTTGAGCTTTGTACATTAAATGCCATTCCCGAGAGCCAAACCTGTAAAGTAATATCAAAGCTGGACTTAAGTCAACTGGTGACTCCAGCTAATGGCAAAGCCTGGTTAAACTTAAATTGAAAACGTGAAACACACATCGGTTCATTAATTCGTAAACAACTTTTCTATTTTAAGTTGGATAGTATCATAGTGATACATTGATAGATTACTTTGAATAGCATCACTGGGATATAAAACAAAAACCATGGGTGCATCATCAGAGAGCAATAGCTATGTATTCAACAAACTGCAGTAGTCCACAGATTCACCCCCGAACCAGCATGAATCATTTATAGAATACTAGAAAATTTGCAAGCCTGTTAACGTCAGTACTCTTTGGTTTGCGTGTCCAGCCAATGTTGTCCTACGTATTCTCAGGAGAGCACTGTTAAGGTATTAAACCTCCACTCTGTCACACTCATTACCGCACACTAATGGCTCCCCAGCAAGAACCGATATCAACAGGCACCAGTGGACAATAAAGCAGAATAATTCATAAACGTTATCACTGATCAACTCAATAGAAAACAGGGAATGAATAAGATATTCAACAATTGTATAGACACGTATATTTATCTAGTTCACTGTTTAACCCTTGCATGCACACTTTGATTATGGCTTCTGACGTACAGCGATCCGGACCAGTACTTCACTGGACTTCTCATCACTCTTCCTTTACTGCGATAACCTCTTATAGTCCGATGCTCCAGGTTTTACTACATCAGATAGCAAAGCCGTAATCGCTACTACTCTGGTATAGGGCATTCAGCCAATATCACGTTTTCCCGTAAAAATCGGTTCGATGTAAACATGTCTTCTTGACAGATTCTGGCAATACCATTTATTGATCGACAGTTAACTACCATGAGCGTCCCGGGTAGTACAAGTTCTAGCAGTATCGCGAGGGGTGTAACAGGTTTTATACGTTAGGTGTTATACCGAGTAGGGGACCAGGGGCCCATGGTAGGCCTGTACAACCAAACGAGGAACGCATAAAACTACACATACCCCGATTGATACTGCTACAACCTATTTATCTTGCTGAATCTACTATTGTAAAAAAATAACGAAGTCAAAATTGATATAGTAATATCTGTTTAGCGGAGGTAAACCTATGATGTGTCACGTGACTTTCGTTGACTCGACTTCCGCTTCGTAACAGGTATGTGCGGTGTGTTCTCGAGCCATGAAATGTATTCCCCTTCTGTTCGGGATATATAGTGTATTATCCAGATCACGAAAGCCAATCAACATTCTGACAAGGAGGTAAGATAAAATATAATTAAAACATTGTTAATAGAAAGTACATTTCTATGGTTAAAGAAGATCGGCTTTGGTGTTCTACTTCTTAAATTTCTCAAATTCTTGTTAATCGCTCAGTCTTCATGGGCGGATCCAGGAATTTTAAAAGGGGGGGGGGTGGGGGTGTCAGGGGCTTCGAACCTCCTGAACCCCCTATTGGCTCCGCCAACGCAAAACAAAATCTTCAATGTTATCTTAAGTCATATTCAGGGGGGTGGGGGGTGGGGGGGTTTGAAACCCCCTGAACCCCCCTCTGGATCCGCCAATGGTCTTGTACATAAACTGAAATGAGTCACATTTGTTGGAATGTTTTCCGTAGTGATGAGAGGGATACCGTTCTCTCTAACAAGTTAATTACATGCGGAATGAGATTTGACCAGGTTTCAGCCCGGACAGGATATTGAGCTCATTTGCTGTGGCCCGACATTTTTGTCGAATTTTTGGGAGTTGTAACCGCATAGTTGTGAAACACATGCGTTAAGATGCAAATCAAGAAACGAATGGAAAGCGGTATTGTGTGTGTTGTTTTAAATATACATATTTTGGTAAACTTGACGAACAGAGACTTTCTTCGTCGCGTCAATCGTTTCCTCATCACGTAGGTGTCAGCATTCTCTTCCCACAGAGGTTACTCAAGTCATATCTTCCCACAGAGGTTACTCAAGTCATATCTTCCCACAGAGGTTACTCAAGTCATATCTTCCCACAGAGGTTACTCAAGTCATATCTTCCCACAGAGGTTACTCAAGTCATATCTTCCCACAGAGGTTACTCAAGTCATATCTTCCCACAGAGGTTACTCAAGTCATATCTTCCCACAGAGGTTACTCAAGTCATATCTTCCCACAGAGGTTACTCAAGTCATATCTTCCCACAGAGGTTACTCAAGTCATATCTTCCCACAGAGGTTACTCAAGTTACTCATCATATCTTCCCACAGAGGTTACTCAAGTCATATCTTCCCACAGAGGTTACTCAAGTCATATCTTCCCACAGAGGTTACTCAAGTCATATCTTCCCACAGAGGTTACTCAAGTCATATCTTCCCACACAGAGGTTACTCAAGTCATATCTTCCCACAGAGGTTACTCAAGTCATATCTTCCCACAGAGGTTACTCAAGTCATATCTTCCCACAGAGGTTACTCAAGTCATATCTTCCCCACAGAGGTTACTCAAGTCATATCTTCCACAGAGAGGTTACTCCTACAGAGGTTACTCAAGTCATATCTTCCCACAGAGGTTACTCAAGTCATATCTTCCCACAGAGGTTACTCAAGTCATATCTTCCTCACAGAGGTTACTCAAGTCATATCTTCCCACAGAGGTTACTCAAGTCATATCTTCCCACAGAGGTTACTCAAGTCATATCTTCCCACAGAGGTTACTCAAGTCATATCTTCCCACAGAGGTTACTCAAGTCATATCTTCCCACAGAGGTTACTCAAGTCATATCTTCCCACAGAGGTTACTCAAGTCATATCTTCCCACAGAGGTTACTCAAGTCATATCTTCCCACAGAGGTTACTCAAGTCATATCTTCCAACAGAGGTTACTCAAGTCATATCTTCCCACAGAGGTTACTCAAGTCATATCTTCCCACAGAGGTTACTCAAGTCATATCTTCCCACAGAGGTTACTCAAGTCATATCTTCCCACAGAGGTTACTCAAGTCATATCTTCCCACAGAGGTTACTCAAGTCATATCTTCCCACAGAGGTTACTCAAGTCATATCTTCTTGACTTGAGTAACCACAGAGGTTACTCAAGTCATATCTTCCCACAGAGGTTACTCAAGTCATATCTTCCCACAGAGGTTACTCAAGTCATATCTTCCTACAGAGGTTACTCAAGTCATATCTTCCCACAGAGGTTACTCAAGTCATATCTTCCCACAGAGGTTACTCAAGTCATATCTTCCCACAGAGGTCTACAGAGTTCCCACAGAGTCATATCTTCCCACAGTTACTCAAGTCATATCTTCCCACAGAGGTTATATCTTCCCACAGAGGTTACTCAAGTCATATCTTCCCACAGAGGTTACTCAAGTCATATCTTCCCACAAAGGTTACTCAAGTCATATCTTCCCACAGAGGTTACTCAAGTCATATCTTCCCACAGAGGTTACTCAAATCATATCTTCCCACACAGGTTACTCAAGTCATATCTTCCCACAGGGGTTACTCAAGTCATATCTTCCCACGTACTCAGGAAGATAGATATGACTTGAGTAACTTCTGTGGGAAGAGAATGATGTGTCAGCTACTCAGAAGGAATGGCCAATTTAGTTTTGTCCGCGTAGCAGTAGGAGTCGGCTGTCTGCCAGAACCGAGGGTGGAATTTGAAGAAAACGTTTGAGGTCTTGAGTTATTTGGAAAGTCCAGACTGCCTCGGCTCTGAAATAAAGCATTGTTCCGGGATCCATTAGGATGTTTGTATTGTTTTAGACATACAACTTTCAGTAAGAAACATTATTTCAGGAACCAAATATAGTAGTACAAAAGTAAACAGATACCTCTTGTTCTTATATTCAGGGATACGAGTGACCTTTCAAGGCAAGGCAGGGGTCAACTGGAAGGAGACGGCCAACCAGGACGACGACGACAGTAAGAAGACCGTCGTTGTCCACTTCAACGCAGAGGAGATCTACATCAACGAGAGGAAGCTGCTATGGGGGGAAGGTAGGCACATCTATGATAAAACTAGGTCACGGGGTTAATGACAAAATATAACATTAGATACTGTGGTCGGATGACAAAAGCATACATGCATGCATACATATAATAAATACATGCGTACATTTAATACATAACATAGTTAAATATATCACGGGGTGGGTATATCTGTGATGAGAAGAAAATAAATTTAGATATATCACTGTATAGGTACGTCAGTGATGGGAGGATGATAAACTGATACATCTGAAGCTATAGGTACATCTGTGAGTAGAGATTACAGACATCATTAGCCGAAGCGATGTACGTTCTTGCGTTCAATTCAAAGATTTAGCTGGGATATTGTAGACATTAGCGTGACACATGTACCCATTTGTGGTGTGGCAGGATACAGTCACTCGTCTATTCCAGATTCTGACAAGGACTTCTCGGCATTCCTCCCTGCCGGGCATTATGAGTTCCCGTTCAGCGTCCCCCTCCCTAAAAACCTCCCATGTTCCTTTGAGGGAGACCATGGCTGCGTCAACTACAAGGTCAAGGCCACAATAGACAAGCCGTGGAAAAGAGACCACAACGTCAAGATGTTCTTCACCGTACTCGGCATGTACGACCTCAACGACGACCCACACGCCAGTGTCAGTAAACACGTTTACCGTTACTCTCCGTCAATACTTTTCCTCATTAGAATTGGTCTCCAACAACTCATGCTTAATTGTCGTAATCCACGAGGATTAATAAAATTCTCCAATTTAATCCATGTAAAAACAGAACGTCCACACTAAAGAATAAACTTGATTAACAAATTACACGTAACTTAAGGTGTTGACAGATATATGGATGGATCACTGATAATCAGTAAACACCTGGAGTTCGCGAAATGGCTGAGCTTGTCCACAGAGACGCGTCTAGGTACTACTTCCGTTTCTGGTATGAAACCGCTCATGGACCCAAGCTGCTATTCAGGGATTCTAACTCTAGTAATGTGTTGATGATATGTAATAACATGACGTTAACCAGTGAAGAGAGATTTCCGGTTCTATATTTAGGGCATACTTATTATCTCTATAGGTTGGACTCACACTAAGAATTGACCAAGAACGTGTGTAGACCTTCGTGTTAAGAGATATGGCTACGCGACTCCCGACACGATCGCATAAAATCATGCAGTTGGATTACCTGAATATTTATTACACAACATCGAGTAGAAAAATAACCTTAAAACCGTGTTGCAGTCCCTAATGCATGAACACAAGTGGATAAAGGTTTAATTCCAATTTGTAAACTGTAGTCTGTTAGCAATGTAAAAGGTCAAGCTAAACAGCTCAGTTCAATGTCAGAGATAATAATGATGTCATTTGATACTGGCGTCATGGGAATCGATGACATCACAGTATTCTGCAAAGGAGCATGATGCAATTTCTAAGAGGCTATTGCTTGACCTGAGGAAGCCAGTTTTTATGATGACCACATTATCTGCCAACTTGCAGGAGCCCATCATGCACTCTGCTGAACAGACCGTGTGTTGCGGGTGCTGTAAAGCCGGCTACTTCTCACTAAACTACCACATCGACCGCCGCGGGTTCGTCCCCGGAGAGGAGATCCCTATCATGGTGGAGGTGAAGAACAAGTCGAACAGCAGACTCCTGTCCGAGGTCAAGTTCAAAATGGTGGGTAGTATGACCACCTGTATGGTTTATAGTGTGCGTGGACGTCCGATTCATAGTGTTGTATCGTCTCCATGTGTAGTTCCATCAAGCATCATCAGTATCCTAAAACTACGATGACATAGATGTCATAGATGTGTGTGTGTGTGTGTGTGTGTGTGTGTGTGTGTGTGTGTGTGTGTGTGTGTGTGTGTGTGTGTGTGTGTGTGTGTGTGTTTTATATTGGCGAAGATCTTTCAATCCTTAAGGAGCTCACCAGGACTTGATTTCTCGAAACAAACCTAAACCTGAGTTTTGACTTAAGTTAAAGTTTTTACTCAAATTTGAGAAAACGCAGGAAAATGCATTTCCCAGAATGCATTGAAATGGATATTAAAATTCAAACATAGTGTACTATTTGAGTTTGGTGGATAGATTAATAAGTTGTTTGGGTTTTTTTATTTTAAAAATGCATGAGTTAAAAATTCAGCTGTTTCAAATTGTCAAACTCAGGTTGAGATTTGAGTAAAAACAAGTTTGTTTCGAGAAATCGGGGCCTGATAGCGGGGTCTGACAAATGGCGTTTCAGTGTACTGTACATGAGCTGCGTGTTGCTAGGTGACGACGTATTTCGCCCATGATGACTCCAAGAAGCAGGAGGAGGAACTGGACAGGTTCGACATGGACCCCGTATCCCCTAATAGCTCGGGGGTGCTGAAGACCACGGTAGATATCCCGCCTACACCACCCTCACATCTCATGGGCTGCAACATCATCGACGTGGACTACATTGTCAGGGTACGAACATGTGTAGAGTAACATGTCAGAGCTGTAGGATGGCTGTGGTGTTGCAAAACTGATATACTAACATGGAAGGATTAGGACTGACACAATGACGTGGCAGGTGTGACAGTGGTCTTGAAAGCGACAGTAGAGTATAGTCCGGCTGTATGACGGCGATCTGTAAATAGTCGAGTCTGTACCATACAATCCAGTGATTGACATCATGAGCATTGAATAGTAGTAGTAGAAGAAGAATAAGTAGTACTAGTAGCAGTAGTAGTAGTTGTAGTTGTAGTAGTAGTGTCAGTAAATGCTGTTTGTCAGCAGAGTTACACTGCGACGGACTGTCAATGATTCGAGCTGGCAAACCAGGACTGAAAGCAGAATCAACGAGTATTTTCGCCTTCTGAGGACGATAATACAATGTCTAAAGTCCTGATTCCACTTTGTGTTTCTCTTCCGCCCGTCTGGGGGAACTATCCTGACCGAGCCTCCCCATAGAGATCGTAGGGGAGGGCTGGTACTGGTAGGTTTGTACGTGTAGGAAGGGTTGATGTTGTAGTGGTAAACTCAGTGAGGATTCAGGGTCATAATCGGTCTCCACCAACCTTCGCTGGTCGTATTAGGCACTGACTTGGTTGGCACATGTCATCGTATCCCAGTTGCGTAGATTGATGTTCATGCTGATGATCACTAGATTGTCTGGTCCAGCCTAGATTATTTACAGACCGCCGCCATATAGCTGGGATATAGCTGAGTGCGGCGTAAAACTAAACTAAACTCACTCACTCACCCAATCTTTTCCTTCCGTAGTTGAAAATAGCACCTGACGGCTGCAACTGTGACAGCATCGAGTTCCACGACGAGATACTCATCGGCACAATCCCACTACGTCACGTGGTGGCCCGGATGCTAGGTGGAGAAGGATTATTCAACCTAACAGGTGACCTCGAGCAAACCAATCTTCCCTCACCGGGTGCGACGCCATTTCCATGCAACGGCACGTCGGGGTCGGCAGCCACGCCCATTCAGAGCCCAGGTTCTCTTACTGTGCCAGCAACAACGTCCGGCATCGCCAGCATAGCAATGCGTAAGACACCTGTTCAGGTCAAGGATGCACATGTTCATAAATGACAGTGATAAATGAATGAGAGAGAAACGCGGGGGGCTAGGTACAAATCCAAGAGTTCAGGTGTATTTCCGATAAAGAGTCACATTCGGGTAGATTTGGGGATTGGAACACACGACCTTGCAGTGGTGGTCATGCGCGACCTACATATGTCCTGTTCAAGCCTTGTAGGTCACGTGAAAAGGAACGTTGATCGAGTAGGTAAGATAAGGTGACCTCACACACATGATCAGATCGTGCACTGTGAAGTGGAAACAATATGCTTGTCTTTCTCATTTTATAGTGAATTTCAAATTTGTAATTTGTAAAAGGTCATATTTTATTAACAGCGTGTGTTTTTTAAGCAGGTCGTAGAACAATGTTGAAACTTAAAGTTTTCAAAAGTTTTTAAAATGAAGTTTTATGTTCTATTTGACAATGCAGCACCGCCTGTGTATGCCAAATGCGCCCACATCAAAAGTAGCAAGCTAGATGACGACGATGTAGCGACGTCGGGAGATGCGTTCACGCCTCAGTATACGTTCTACAACTGGAAGCAGCTTGTGGCCCGGATGAAGCAGCAGGCTTGTGATCCACCACGTGACCAGGTGATAGTGAGGGACGAGACAGACGTCAGTGTCAACACAAACGTTGTCACTGAAAACAGCGCAACACCGGAACGAGAACATCCTAATGGTTCTGGAACTTCAGAAAGTGAAGTGAAGGTTAAGCTAAATTCTATACAAGACACAAACATGACCGTGCGCTTCGACACTACTTTGCATGAACTAAACACAGATGACGACGAGATACTATAGAGTGGATATATATGTTCATTGCCAATGTGGCCTGTTGCATGGTAACGATGTTAAGCAACTGAGGAAGAAAACAATATCCAGTCAACAATCTTAACGGTCATATACCGATGACCTGGTACTCTGTTGACGTATAAAAATGAAGGTCAGTCCCGTGCAGGATATTTGCACAGTTGTCGATCTGCATTTATATGTTATAAGCTACTGATTATGGATAACCAAACATGTAACGAAAACAAACCCGCACCAACACCACCCCACCCCAACTCCCGTACTTGACATTTTGACCTCAAATGTTAATGTAGACTTGTTTGTTCTTCCACAATGACAAGCCATGTTGGATTCTGTCGAAACAGTGTTATTTACAACAACAACAAAAAACAACAACAACAAAACTATTTTTAAGAGCCTCAACACAATTAGAATGCATCATAGCGGCCCAGACCATGTGCACCAAGCTTACCTTGTCCCTTTGTCTCACTATGTATTGCAAGCTGACTTACAACCGGGGAGGTACTCAACAAGTTAAAGCAATATTCCAGCTATATGGTGCACAGGCCCTCGTGTGTTTGCGAGGATTAGAGATTTTATAAAATGTATACAAAACTTTGAGATGACCCCCGACTCGAAATGCGTCACAATATAATACATTATGACAAGGCCGGACACTTCGGTACACCCCACCCGACTGCCTTGCCGATCGCTACGCTGCCATCGCATGCAATCGATTAAAACTTAATGTAAACATAATCATCCTTATAGTCGCCAAGCATGGGTTACTGAAGACCAGTTCTAACATGTATGCGTATCCTGTGGTCAGGTGTGGCCGTTACCCTCGAGTGCGTGGGGCGCTACTCATTCTGTCCACCATTCAGCCTGCCCCAAATTCAATTAAATTAATTCCAGTAAAATAGTTGGATTTTCTGGTTCCAGCGTGAGAGCACATATAAATGGCAATATACTACCCACTGCTTTGATGTTTGAGGCTCAGTGGGAAATCGCTGCACTGAATGGGTTAGTTTTAGCTATTAGCAATATTCCAGCAATATCACGGCTGGGGGCACCTGAAATGGGCTCCACACAGTGTACCCATGTGGGAAATCGAACCCGGGTCGAGCAAACGCTTTAACCACTAGGCTACCCCCACCGATCCCATTTCTGACAAAGTTCTGTAATGTTAATGTGAGATGACGGCAAGTGTGAATAAAACACTATCCATCTACTAGTTAATGACACACCTGCTCCTATCACCGTGGCAGAACCTGCTTATGCAATTTGGATATGCTTCTGAAATTTGTGATTCATAGTTTCTGTTCTTGCTGTATTTACAAAGGCAGTTGGTTCATATACTTCTTCATACTTGTGCTTGTATAGATGTATATCTATATATACGTTGTATTCTTTGACATTAAACAATGTTAATAAAGTAGCTCTCTGTTTTTTACTCTCACGTTTCGGTACATTTCTGATTATCCAGTGGAAACTGACAGGTAAAGTAACCTATACAATTGAAGAGGTTACAAGGCAGAAAACGGTCGCCGAAACACTGCGGAATTAACATCCGAAACACAACCACGATACCCGTATCAAATACTTCACCATCCACAACACAACTACAATACCCGTATCAAATACTTCACCATCCACAACACAACTACAATACCCGTATCACATGCTTCACCATCCACAACACAACTACAATACCCGTATCAAATACTTCACCATCAATACCTACAACACAACTACAATACCCGTATCAAATACTTCACCATCCACAACACAACTACAATACCCGTATCACATACTTCACCATCCACAACACAACTACAATACCCGTATCAAATACTTCACCATCCACAACACAACTACAATACCCGTATCACATACTTCACCATCCACAACACAACTACAATACCCGTATCAAATGCTTCACCATCCACAACACAACTACAATACCCGTATCAAATGCTTCACCATCCACAACACAACTACAATACCCGTATCAATACTTCACCATCCACAACACAACTAATACAATACATCAATACTTCACCATCCACAACACAACTACAACAATACCTGCCTTCACCATCCACAACACAACTATAATACCAAATCAAATCACTTCACCATCCACAACACAACTACAATACCCGTATCAAATACTTCACCATCCACAACACAACTACAATATCCGTATCACCCGCATCCATGCTTCACAAATGCTTCACCATCCACAACACAACTACAATACCCGTATCACATGCTTCACCATCCATCCACAACACAATTCTACAATACTTATCACCACCACCCACAACAACAAACTACAATACCCGTATCACATGCTTCACCATCCACAACACAATTCACCATCAACAACACAACTACAATACCCCGTATCACATACTTCACCATCCACAACACAACTACAATACCCGTATCAAATGCTTCACCATCCACAACACCTACAACCATCAATTCACCACCACAAACCACAATATCACATGCTCTCCATATATCAAATGCTTCACCATCCACAACACAACAACAACAACTACAATACCGTATCAAATGCTTCACCATCCACAACACAACTACAATACCGTATCAAATACTTCACCATCCACAACACAACTACAATACCTGTATCAAATACTTCACCATCCACAACACAACCATCAATACTTCACCATCACAACACTTACACAAATATCCACAACACAACAACTACAATACCCGTATCAAATACTTCACCATCCACAACACAACTACAATACCCGTAATACTTCACCATCCAAATGCTTCACCATCCATTCGCCATCCAAAACACAACTACAATACCCGCATCAAATACTTCACCATCCACACAACACAATACAACTATAATTCCGCATCAAATGCTTCACCATCCACAAACACAACTACAATACCCGTATCAAATACTTCACCATCCAAAACACAACTACAATACCCGCATCAAATACTTCACCATCCACATACAACTACAAAACCCGCATCAAATACTTCACCATCCAAAACACAACTACAATACCCGTATCAAATACTTCACCATCCACAACACAACTACAAAACCCGTATCAAATACTTCACCATCCACAACAACTACAACTACAATACTTCCGTATCAAATACTTCACCATCCACAACAACAACAACAGAGTAAAAGAGTAACCATTTTTTGTATACATGATATCTTGACGCTATCAAATATGGGTAGGTATTCTCTAATGCCAGGCAGTATTTCATATCTCCATTCTGTTTTATAAAATGAACCTGTTTGTTACCACAGTTTCGTGTTGTGAGCGACGTCACAACCCCCATCGCACATAGTGTACCATATACCAGGGATAATCTACAACGTTATATAGTCTCCCTGCCCATACATAACTATAAAGAGTACTTGTTTTCTTTAATTGGACACAAACCACTGTGAAAGGAGGATGACCACCCTTCCTTCGTTGTGTTCCACGGACCCCTTGTCTCACGATGGCGACACCTCAAGTGTGACGGGCATCAAGCATTACTTTACCATTGAATTTACTCAGATCTCTCTTTATTCGATATGAATAATAACTATTACAACAATCTATAGTGTGATTACACAATGCCATTTAAGAAAGTGAAATCCCAAACATATGTTACAATATATAGTGTATCTATTATCACTATGAGATCAATGAGCGACAAAAATAAATGATGAATAAATATAACAAAAATAAAAGATTTTGGTGGTTAGGAAACAGGAAGACGAATGCAAGTCAGAAATAAATAAATCCGGAATCGCTTTTGAAAGTATATTACGAATGCTTCAAATAATCGAAGTTTTTAGCGGCGTGCATTTGTGATGTTAAGAGTTACCGTTCACAAATGTGTACGCATGCGTTTCATTCATCATGGCCGAGAGCATAACAAACAGACTGTCAAATTACCTCCAATCTTGACATCGAAAGGCGCGTTGTTAATAGATACAAACTAGAATGGCTTCCGAATTTTCGCCAGAGATGGTGAAGTCTCTGAAACAAAAGGTGTTTACATCTGCAAGAGATGGGATGGCTATCAGCATTTTCGCAATGCTGTGGAATCTAGACGCCAAAATCGTTGACGCAGTCCTCAACCATTACACAGAAGAGGACGGACAGAAAACAACGCCCCTTATCATAGCAGCCAGGAACGGGGAGGACAAAGTTGTACAAGTTCTCCTCAGCAACTTCCGTGTAGATCACGAGCAGACGGGGACAGTCAAGTTCGAAGGCTACGTGATCGAAGGTGCGACGGCTTTGTGGTGTGCGGCTGGAGCTGGGCATTTCGGCGTGGTGAAGTTTCTGGTTGAACATGATGCCGACGTGAATCACCCAACGCTTACAAATTCAACGCCACTGCGTGCAGCATGTTTTGATGGTCGCCTCGACATAGTACGGTACTTGGTTGAACATGGTGCAGATTTGACCATAGCCAACAAATACAATAACACTTGCTTGATGATCAGCTGCTACAAGGACCACCGAGATGTGGTGACGTTCCTGTTGGAGAAAGGGGCAAACCCTGACTGCAAGGCTCATTGTGGAGCAACTGCTCTACATTTCTCTGCAGAGTGTGGCCACTTGGAAATTGTTAAAGAGCTCATCAAGTTTGGAGCATCCATAACTGAAAATGACCATAAAATGACTCCCCTGATTGTTGCTGCAGAATGTGGAAAGAGTCAAGTTGTAAACTATCTCATTTCTTTACCTGAGTGCTCAAAGAAAGATAAGATAGATGCTTTAGAGGTTTCAGGGGCATCTTTTGCTAATGACAAAGAAAATTATGATATTTCAAAAGCATATCAATATCTCAAGTTAGCCATGGAAGAACGGTATAGAGATCCGCACAATATTGTTCATAAGCCACACTATCCTCCTGTCCCTGCATACGACAACTGGGTGGAGTGTAAAACAATGAATGCGCTTGAAGCGATAGAAAAGAATTATGGCGCCCTTCACATGGAATCATTAGCCATCCGTGAAAGAATTCTTGGTGCGGATAACCCAGAGGTCCCACATCCAGTGATATTTCGGGGAGCTGTATTTGCTGATAGTGCCAGATTTGACAGGTGTATTGCATTGTGGATGCATGCCATGAAACTGAGGCAGAGAAATAACAGAGCCATTCCTAAAGATCTACTTCGTTTTTTCCCAAGTCTTTTCACAGATGGTCCATATAGGAGTACGACTTGAGTTCTCCCCAATCCTGGAAGTACTGGATCATGCAGGAAAGGAGATAGAGAGAGACATGGAGAGAATGGGAAAAGAGGATGAAGATTATCTGGCCCTGGTTGAAATTTATCAAACCAACATCCATACTTGCCTCTATTTGCTTGTGATAGCTCTGAAAGTTACCAAGAGCAAAGAAGAACTGCATCAGCTCCACCAACTTGTGTACAGGTTTTTAAGACTGAAACCTGCTCTCAAGAATGGATATTCTGCACTTCATATGGCTGTGGATAGTGCAAGCATTGTTGATGATTTCCATGTCAACGATGTTGTGTCCTTTCCAAATTCACCACTAGCAGCTTTGTTGGTACGCTGTGGAGCAGACATCAATGCACAGGACCATGTAGGAAACACGCCTCTCCATGTTATAGTACGCTACAATGACCCAATAGATGACTTTGACACGCTTCACCAGATAATACTGTCTCTGATACGTGGAGGATCTCATCTAGATATGCGTAATTCAGAAAGGAAAACACCAATGCAGTGTTCAACAACTGGAGTGGCAGAGGTGATTCTCCGGCAACACAATCAAATATATCTGAAATGTTTAGCCGCCACTGCTGTAAGGGTTCACAACATCAGTTACAAGGGACTGATTCCTCAGTTTCTGGAAGAATTTATTGAACTGCATTGAAACATGCTGAAACATCTGAATGACTGTCTTCATGTTGTGATACATATGTTGTAGCTGAAAGTGACTGCTTAAGTTTGAATGTTCGTTAAAGTATCCATGCGTTACAAGATAACAGTGTTGTTCAGGCACAAGTGCTGTTATTCCCACTTTACACCCATGTGTATTGCCAGTTAACACCCATGATGTGTATACCACTAGTCATTAGCGTTACTAAGTGCTCCTAATGTCATGAAAAGTTTGTTGAACTTGTTGACATTTAGTTTATATGGGTTTTGAAATCAGTTCAGATCTGATGACTTTTTCTGATCCATACTGAATTTTGATTTTAATCTGAATGTGAAGCTCCATTATAAATGTTAAAACAGAATGTGGATAGTGTACATTTCCAAAGTATAATAGATTTAATGTCATTGTGTCATTGTTGGTTTTTGGATGGTGCTAGTTGTATCATGTGTATGTATGCAAATATGAGAGGAACCAGAGGACATAATTGTACAACTAAAAGGAGAGAAATACATTATTGGCATGTCCAAAAGGAAAAATTTATACTTGTTGTTGCCACATTTATGGTTGCAAAGCCCTCATTCTCTCAAGCCCTCTTTTTTCAGGTTGCCAACATGACAATCTTTGCAAAAACGCTCTTAGAATACAAGTAGTTTGTTAGAATACAAAAATCATGCCAAGTTTTCACGCCTTGGTCACATATTTTTCTGCCAATTGTTTACTAAGTGTCATCAACAATAAACCTGTAAAGGAGATATATTGTCCATCTACTAGCCCATAATGTCACCAAAAGTGTGGGTTTATGATTCAGTTATGTTCACTTCATTAAGTACTTGTTAAACACTGTACTTCACTATCATATTGATACAAACAGAATATATTTTACTTATTTCTCACATGATGCATAATTTGAAATGTAGATATCCATGCATTCATTTAGATTATATTTGTATTAAGAAATCAGAAATGGGAAGTTACTCTGTAAACTTGTCAGTGTCTGTATAAGAATAGAGGTTTTCTGTATTTGATACTATGCCGTAATTGATATCATTGAAAATCATCACAATACACTTGTATAGATACAGTGTGCATGACATGTTAGGTTTGATGTTTGTACTATGCACAAATCATTAGCGTTAGATGTGTTAGGGTTAAGTTAACCCTTTGCCATTTAACCCGTTCCTCATCAAACACAAACTTTGCAGTCTGTAGGAATAGGCACCCATTGCCAATCAAATACCCCTTTAGAATTGGGTTCTAGTAGTCACTAGAGGACCCCATTTTGATAATTTGAACTTGAGGTAGTGTTGGGAATTGGTTAAAATCCCATAATTAATGATTGGTTCATTACAACCGATCAATCATCGAAAATAATTGATTAGACAAAACCAACCTTGTGAAAAATATTGTTAATGCAAACAAGTATTCAAAAACTGTTTGTGTTCGATTATGAGAAAACATGATCAATTGCTTGGTCATTTTGTCATTGCGGCCAATCTTTCAATTAATTGGACCACCACTAACTTGGGGGTTAATTGATTTAGGGTGTGATTTAGCTATCTCAGCTCTTTTAATAAATTAATCAAATGTAATTTGGATTTGGTATACAGCTGGGTGCTAATCACTGTGTTAATCAGTAATTATTTGTGATACTGTGGTAAGGTACAGGCTAATTACCTTAATTCATTAGCCTAGCTGAGCTTTTAAGTTTGCAATTCAAGTTCCATCCTCCATGCAACGCAGATTGAAAACCAGAAAAGTGATCCTAATATTGTGCATTGAGAGTTCTTGAGTTCTGAGTATATTGAATATTGACTGTCAATGGCTTTCTTTATAGTGATATTCTAGTTCTTCACAAGGAATATTTAGTGTATAGATATGAACCTGTCTTCCTTTTATTGTTTTTGTCATGAACATGTATGTATTGTTAAGTATTGATTGCTGAGACTTGACCATGTCAAAATATGTGGCAGATAGTATCATGACCTATTCACTGTTCAGAAAATCATTACAGCAGTCTGACAGTGTCGTTACTACTTATTATTTACCCATTCCAAATGTAATTTGAGACATAATAGTTTGTTATTGATGTCCATGATGTCAGATATTGAAATACATCATCTTTGTGATGGTGGTCTGTGGTTTCTATGAAGCTTTTGTCTTACTGTGCTGGATGACTGGAACTTAAATGTGATACGCTGGCATAATGTGTCTTTCATCTTCCAAGCAAAAGCTGGTTTTCATCATATTCAAAAGAATTAACATAGAATGAGGAGTGATGGAGCAGTTGAGGACCTGGTGAAGTGCAAAGTTTTGAGCAAGAAGTTTGTTCAACATGCTTAGCTAACAGGAATATTGCTTGTTAAAAAGCTGTGAAATTCCTCACGTGTCTAGTGACAGAGTATATGTAAAGTCATTAAGCTACTTTAGGACGGAGGCAAGAGATAGTTGGCATGGGTTTGTTATCTTACCTTATGAATACCTGAATACCATTCTTCAGGAGAATTATTAGGTTAGTCCTGCGTCGCTAACATCACCAACAGAGAGGTCATGCCGTGTTTGTCACTAGATTTATCATGCCTATATGTTAAGCTCACATGTCAAAGATGTTGCGAGTACATGAGTATTTCTGTATGTTCATAATGAAAATTGGAGTCATGTGCATGGTAAGTTAGACAGATGCACATGTTGATGCATTTCAATGATTTCCTCACTGGTGCGAATTTAATATATTATGGTGTGTGGTTCAGGTGTCTCTTTGTGTTCATGGACTGTACTTCCTATGTCTTCACACTTGCTCAACTCAACTCTTTATGTTCTTGCTCAAGCAGTAATGCAGATGTCCTTCCTGTCTTTACTATGACTTTTATGGACTGATTCTCCATTACATTTCCAGGACTGCATGTCTTTGTGTCTGTCACATGATCGTCACATGATCATCATGATTAGGGTTAGTCTGATACATCTCGTTGCTGACATTTGAATATGATGTTGGTTCATATCACATGGTAAAACTTGCATTTCCAAAGGCTTCTAAAAACCCTTGACTAGGGTAATTGTCACCATTATCAACTCTTTTCTCCATGCGAGAAGTATTAAGAATTATATATAAAGTAGTAGTAATTGACTGGAAATAAATTATATTGAGCAGCTGTCATGAGCCAGTGCTGATGGGTCCGACTAATGAATTTCGGCTGGACCTGACCAGTATTACTCATTGTTTGCTATAAGTTGATGGTTACCATGGCTCAGGACTCCACTGTATTCGTCAGTTTTGGGAAAATACAACAGTTGTTTCTTCCTAGAAACCCTGTCATGCCATGAAAGCACTATTTCCATCAGTTATGGACAACCTGGTAATGTTGTTACCTTGAATAGGGAAGTTGTGGCATACTGGTGTAGGTAGAAATTATTGCCCCACTGAAAAAATAATAGCAAGCATCTTTAATGTCTCCAGTCTATTGAATTAGTTTTTTTTTGTATACTTGTAAGGAGTTAAAGGCAAAATCTTCTTAATTAGGATGCTTTTGTGTGTATTTTTATTGGCTCGGCTGGTATGTGGATGGTGAGCGGCCTTCAGTTTGTGAAATCATTAAAGGTGAATGCTGTAGCATGTAATCCCACTCCCAGCAGCCAAATGTATGGGGAGACTGAAAAATGACTGTTTCTATCCATCATATTTATTGCTGCTATTGGAGCTATGATCATGAGTTTGAATCCAAGATGTGCTCATCATTATTTTAGGGTATGTCAGCACCAAACCCAGGCTTATGGGTTTCACTGAAGTGGTGAGCTTCATCTCTATTGACCTTCTTCCCACATCAAACTGACAAAGCATGATATAACTCAATTTCAGTTTGAAGCTGTTATACAAAACCTGCTCTATAGCCAGTATTATGAAATGCTCGCAGCAGTGATATTCATGGGATGTTTGTGTGGCATTATCATGTGCATGGTAACACTTAAACTGGTCTTACAGGTCTCAGTCTGTATTGCCTGTGGTAAGAACTACCGGTATGTTGTATCAGCTGCTGGTTTGTCTGCATGGTTCAGCCCAGGCTTGAATACTGCTGCTACCAACTGGTGTAAAACACAAACTACTTGTCTGTCCTCCGTAATTTTGTATACTAGGTGTTAATGAGATGAACTAATATTAGCCAAAGCCATTTATGTCTATTAGATGATTTATCTTAATTTCTTATGTTTAAAATGAAAGTAGGTGGCTGAAAAAGTTTTAATTTTTTTTTCAACTGCTCTATTAATACTTTTAATAAATAAAAAACAAGCCCATGGTCACACATCACATGACTGCATACAAATACTGAAAGATTACTTATTATGGGTGGTTCTTTTTTTGTAGAATAAAGATTTTTATATGTTCTTCACCATTACCTATGAACATTGGTGAAAACATGGTTTTTCAATTGTATTTGTATAACTGTCAGATCCAAAAAATATGGTCTAAAGTCATTTGGTTGTTTTTGTCAGTCTCCAAATCCAAGTAGTAAAACATATTTGGCCAAATGTAGTAAACGTAATGGACATGCTACATGACTGTGTGTCTGTCTGTTTACATGTTGTAAGATGAGTTCCATAGTTCAGTTGTTTGATCACTAAATGTGATGTATAAGGATAAACTAGGTTACCTGATGCAGTGATGGTATATCATTGTCATACAGTGTATATAGTTAATGATTCAGTTTACCTTGTTCAGAAGCTTGAAATCTCCATATAGCTTAAAAAATGAAATTGCAGAGTTTCAAGCATTTATCACATGCCTTACCAGCTGATTTGGTGTGTCAGTAATGTTGGTGTGTCAATAATGTTGGTGTGTCAGTAATGTTGGTGTGTCAGTGAAGTCCATTCAGAATGTTGGCACTATTTGTACCATAATGAAGGGGACCCAAGTCATCTTCATGTGGGCACAGTTAATCAGAATTTATGAAGGATTGATTGTCCGTTGATGGATAAAGATATGAAAATAAATGAGTCTGCTATACTAACATAATATCGTTAATTACACCCGAAATTTACCTTCATATAAAATAATGTTGCCAATCATTCGAATAACGGCGCTTTAAGATCACACATCATATAGTGTTAGCAGTCCAGGGGCGTTAATACAGTAATGATAGTGAGCAATCTCCCAGTCATCTCCACATCTGGAGGTTTCCTTAAGCTGTACCTTAAGTCACTGGCTGGTCTGTGAACACCTGCTGCAATAACATGTACACATCCAAGTGATTCTGTGATGCTCATATTTTGCTTATACTTCTTTTGTTATTGGAGAATGATGACAAATAAATATTTATGAATTAATTTTGTATTGTGTTGCTCCTTATTTACACTCCCCAATACATGTAACATATTTTCATAAAACTGACTCCATCATCAGATACTAATATTCACATTTATACATTTTTAGTTTGAAAAACACTGAGCTGTCAACCCCAACTTGTAAGAGATGCCTAATAGGATCAGGTGCCCTCTGACTTGGATGACACTTGTATCCCAGGTACATAGATCAATCCAATGATGTCAATCACTCAATTGTCTGGTCCAGACTTAATTATTCAGTCTGCCATCATATAGCTGGAGTATTGCTGACTGTGACAACTGAACAACAAACAAACCAAATCATGTATCCAACCACGGACTTCCGTAGCCCAGATTCGGTAGATAAAACATCCCCATGGTACAACTAGAAATTGCTTCATTGGAGTAAAACCATGTTGCTGTACAAAATATACCTTATCTAGATTACATATACAGACAGACAGACAATACTTTATTACCTTAAAAGGAATTCGTTTTGGATCACAGAGCTTGACAAAAATACAAATGAATAACAACATAAAATATGAAATTACTTAAACATAAACATATTACCTGTCTGCAAGCGTAAACCAATAATGGGAACAGTTTCGGAACAAAATTATATGCCACACAACTTATGTCATACAACTTATGTCACCAAAATTCCCTTCAGTGGAATAAGCTTTAGAAACAAGGGATTTTCAATAGCACATGGGACATACTGGCACACATTTCAATTAGACACTCCAGAATTTTCTTTTGTAGAGCTTTCTGGTATGACCTTTAATGAGATGTCCTCAGATATTTGCATAGCAGTAGTGAGCGGTAAGATCTGACTGTTTTGTGACACTTAATCCACCATCTTCAAAACAAGCACAAGACGCAAGCGTGATGTACCATGTACAATAAATGAACAATTCTTTATTCAGCCAAAGCAACTCTTGATTTCATTTTGTTGATCAACATTTGCATTCTTGAAACTTACCAAAGGTATAGGGAGAAAACTGAAAAATAGCATTGTTTTAATTGGATCATAACTGCTGTGACTCAAATTCTCTCGTCAGCTGTTAAGTCCTGGAACACACAGTGTTCAAACATACCTAAACATAATGCAAGCATGTTGAGGTTGTCAGCTGTTAAGTACTGGAACACACAGTGTTCAAACATACCTGAACATAGTGCAAGCATGTTGAGGTTGTCAGTGGGATATAAATAGCCCAGATTGAGCCATGTGACCCTGTTAGCTAATGAACTAAAATCACCCTATAGGTATTATCATCACCTGACAAGTGAATGATTGGGTTCTTGATTGAGTTGTTGAACTGTGTCTATCTGTCTGAAATTGCTGAGGTGGAACCATTAGTTTGGAGCAGTTCAGTTTTTTAGAAAGGTGGATCCTTCAGTTTGGAGCAGGTCAGTTTTTTAAGGAAGGTGGATCCATCTGTTTGGAGCATTTCAGTTTTCTAAAAAGGTGGATCCATCAGTTTGGATCAGTTCAGTGGTTTAGGAAGGTGGAGTCATCAGTTTTGGAGCAGTTCAGCTCATGAACTGGGATCCCGATGGCTGTCCAATTCACAGTCCAAGTTCACAGCAACCTGACGACTTGACCTCTCCCCACTGAAAGACCTGGAATAGAAACATGTATTAATTATTAAGATGACTTCTGCCCCCTTACATTTACTCTTGCCATGCTCTTTACTGTAAGTATTTAACATGAGGATCATGTCTATCCCAGCAATCTCTGACCTTGTTACAAGTGTGACGTCCGTGGAGCCTGGTGCAACATCAACCGGCTGTGAGTAGCGGAGCCATGTGCTGCCTCTATCCCAGCTGTAGTACATGGGTAGACCAGGGTAGGCACAGTTCACAGTCATCACTCGACCACCTTCTGACAGCCTGCAACGCACAAACAGTTGCTGTACTGTCACCTAGCATCATCAGGTAGGTGTTGGATATGTAAGGCCGGGAGGCGGCCATTTTTCTGATCAGGAAACATAATTTTAAGCATGCAGTTTGTGAAAATTTAAGCTGCCATTGTTGTGATTACTTAACTTATCTGCCAAAATGATACTGACATATTAATAATCTTTTCATGCAATAATCATGTCACAAGTATTTTCATTCTTGATCCAAATAATATGACTCTCAGTTAAAGACTGCCATCACGGGTGTTAAGCATCAATAGAACACAAATCATCTTAACAGAAACACAGAAATATAGCCACTAAACTTATAAAGCAAAACATGACACGAGACTGAGGTGAGGTGAAATTCGGTTTAACTTCATGCTTGAGAATATTTCGCTCATATGACGATGTGCATGCGTGTGTATGTGTATGTGCGGGTGCTTGTACTAGCCCAGACTGAAGCTGGTTTTATAGTGCTAGCCCACTGAGATACCATGCCACAGTGAAGCACGAATACCCCACTCAGACACATTATACTGACTCCAAATCGACCAGTCCTTCTTGTACCCATTAATGCCGAACGCCAGGCAGGGACCAACAAGTACCATATTTTAACGTCTTTTTGGTATGACGCGGTTGGGGATCGAACCCAGGACCTTCCGCTCTCCGGGCGGACGCTATAACCACTACACCACAGAGGCGGTCACACGAGACTGAGAAGAGGTTTGTTTCTGCAGATAACGGCAGTTACAGTATGACATGTTCTTCTGTTCTCTCTAAAGAAGTGATTTGTCCAGGTATTCTAAATTCTGTTGAAGATGTCCCTATTGTCAATTTTTCCATCTATTAACTAAATACTTCATATGAGAGTTTCCATACCACAAAAATGTCAATCTAGCATACTTAAGTCAGTAATGATATCCCTCTCAGCTGAGAGTGACCTACCTAACTCCTGGTGGTGGCAGATAGTACGAGATGTTCATTGTCTCCAGTCGATTCAGCTCCTTGCTACCTAATATGCTGGCAAATTCTGCCCAGTTCTTCTGCCTTAGGACTTCCAGTTGGGATCGGTCTGCTACATCCTCCCAGACTGCCTTGTGCCACGCTCGCTCCGCCAGTGCTATAATGCGAGGTATGATCATCTCTTGCAGCTGGCCTGGTGTCCGCACTAGCTCACTCCACAGTTGCCCTTGTAGACCTGTACGAGGTCGGGAAAGCTATATAACTAGTATTGACTACCATGGACGTCTACAAGGGATTCCTATAGGAGTTCCTACAGTAGACCTGTAGAGGAACGGAGTGTCAACCACTCACATTGATGTACACTTTAGTTGCAGACTAAGCATATACCAGTTTTAATTGGTGTACAGAAAATGACTTCCTGTACTGAATACACCAAAACATAGTTGTAGGGTAAACGTGCAAGGTTAGGTCACTATACGTTAACCAGGGAGGCAAAACACAACAACGTATTCAGACAACTTTTGGAAGAAAATCTGAAACATTTCTTATGTTTTTTGTTCAATCTACTGCTGATGATTTTTTACACAAAATGTCTACATCAAGTCATAATCATCCAGCCAGCACACCACTTACCTATGATGTTCTCAGGTCTTGTAAGCGTACACTCATTCCCCAGGGACAGTTTGTTCAGCTCCGCCTCTGTGAAGGGTTCCCCAGTCATCTTTCGGTCAGCATTGGCATACAGCGTGTCTGGCATGAAGCTGAATACTTTGTGTGTGTCCAGGTAGCGTCCCGACCAATATAGACCCCTCTCCTCCGGGTCGGGCTCATAGGGGTGGTCGAAATACAGGTGTGTTGCTTGAGACATCACCACCTGGAAGAGACACACAAACATACATATAAAAACTTTTCTTGATAATCGTAGTAAAACAATTCAGAATTGAAAATAAAACATCAAAGTATGCTATTACCTTGTTTTCCTCAGTGAACCAACAAATACAGCTTATTTAATGCAAAATGCATCCTTATGAGAAAAAAGTTAACGTGTGCTTGAGGCAGAAAAGGAAGGAAATGGTGAGTGGTTTGGGAGAAATATGAAATCTGAAGTCCAGCAGCCACCCAAAGTGGTTGACATGCTGGACAGAAGTCTTGAGTATGTAAGGAAAGCCTGCAAGGATTTGTTTAACTTTTGAAACTTGAATGCATGACATGATATGAACCCGAGTGGTATCAGGTAATGGAAGACAAACTGATCTCACAGAGTTCCGTGTTAGAAGCACAGTCCTACAAGTCAGCAGCTTGAGCAGAAACCTACAGAACTCTTGCCTGACCTTTGTGTGATGCTATTTACAAGAACTGTGACGCACGTATGTATCTCCATTATCAGTATTGTCCCATTAGGATGAGTATTCTATATTCTGATTCCCTTGCGAAAAACATTTTAGCTTAACATGTTTTAGCAGCATTAAATGTTTATCCCAGATTCCTTTCATTTTCATTTTTCAACAACAATTTTTTTGTTTAGCTGTTAGTATGTACATTTTATCCTGCTATGACTTTATAACACTAATGGGATCATTCATGTAAGGCATCATCTTGTGACTAAAAGTTTAGGGGCAGACTCTGTGTTGATATTCCCTCCAGATGAAAATGCTCTGTATTTTAGTCCATCGGATATTGAGACATCTATTATTACAAATATACGCAACAGATTAGCATCATAGCTCTGTTATGACATCAGCAGTGCCCAACAGTGGAAACTACTGGAACACTGACCTACCTTGTAGCCTGCATTAGCCAGCTTCACTGTGTCCGAGGCCATTCCTGTCTCCCAAACATTCTTCCAAGCATAAACCACAACGCTGTCATTATCAAAATCTGATCTGTCAAACAGTTGCGTCTTCTTCATCACAATACCATCCTGCCACGCAGCAACATCCAGGCCATGAGACTTGACAATCCGAGCCACTCGTTTCAAAAAGTATCCCATGAGCTCCGTGACCGACGACACTTCCCCTGCTTTGATCCTTGCCTGACATGCCGGTGATTCCAGCCACGCCTCGTATGGCACCTCGTCTCCTCCAAGGTGGAACATCCTCAGCGGGGAAACACCTTCATGCATTGCCTTTAGTTCCTTCACAATCTTGTCGACAAATGTGTACGTTGATTCACGCCCAGGGTCAAGGACATTGTCAGAAAACATCTGTACCGACTGAACCTTGAAAGGGTTCTCAATATCAGACAGCAGATACTGACAAGCTTCTTCCTCGGGTCTACCTTCCCTTATCAAACGGCGACATCGTGCTGCCATGGCAACTATTGCAGCGTGACTATGTCCAGGCATATCAATCTCTGGAATGACTTCAATGTGTCGTTGCACGGCTGCCTTCAAGATCTCTCTGCAATACCACAGAACACTGTTATATACCTTATCGTACCACCTCGGACATATCTAACTTCATTCAAGATAAACAGAGACTTCAAGGCTAAAACAATGAGCACAGATCTAAATGTGTTATAAATGTTATCCCAATGAAACATAACAAAATACAGTACGGGGTAGTTTGGTAAACAATACACTTGTGTATTCAATAAGTTAAACCGTATCCCTTCATGAATTCAATTCAGTTTTCGCTAGAGTGAAATATGTAAATTGGTCAGTCCTAAACATATCTTTGGTGACATTTCTTAATTTAATGATAAAAAGTAAATCATGTAGTAAAGGCTATTCTCATTTCTGAGGTCTGTGATCCAAGTCATAATACTGATCCAGCCTTAAACACATCTTTGTTTCATGGATCTTATGTTTTTCATGAAGGGGAGCAACAGACAATAGTTTACAGTGTATTTGTTATTTGAAGGTCACAGGTCAACAGACAAGGAGCTGATAAGACACTTCATTGTTTACTCAGTGATTGAATACAATGAAGAAGCAGGAAGCAATACCTGCTGATCTGACTGACCCAAATGTGGGGGGCGTGATTTCTTATCAAAGCTTCATCCACAAATATACCAGATCCACATATTTTAAACTAAAGACTAGACAGTGTTCGATAATAAGATATCATGGAGGTTACAGATAGGAATATCTGGTCACAAATAGCTGTCATGGACAAATACATGTGATTATACATTGTGAAATCAGATCTGATCAACATGGTTTTACTGCACCTATAGTCCTGAACTGTATAGAATCCCGAGCCAGGATACAGGTCTGGGGCAGGACCTGAACCCAGTACAGGAAGTAGACGCTTCTCCTCCTCAAGGTCGTGACCTCGGCAACCACCAACCTGGGAAAGAAAACTAAGGAATTATTTTTCTCTAAACCATACACCCCAACACAAGTGTCTACAAAGCATCTCTCCACATTACTCTGAGTTGTCCAGCATCATGTTACAAGTGGCCAACCAACATGTTCCTGCCTGTCAGTAGTACTGTCTGCTCCATGCAGACAAATGGACAGGGTATGTATGACAGCTAGAGAGGTCTTATAGCTGATCAGGTGCTTTCAGTTAGTGCTGGTATTGGCATACAACCTGCAATACGATACATCACGATACTATCATTTTAGTCACGACGATATATTGCCAGAGTATTGTGCACTGAAGCTGCGATACGAAACGAATGCCGATATAAGGGTGGCGATACGATATGTATCACGATACTAAAATCTTTAATTCTAACACCAACTATACAACACCCTGAGATCAAAACAAAACTATTTTAAAAGTATTTGGTCAAATTCAGCCAGCGTTATTCAATGTTCATTCGGAAACAAGATAATTATGTTTGTACATGGACTTTGTGAATGTTAATAACATGCAAGCACTATGTCTGATACAGTTCTTGATGGATGATTTTCCGAGAAACGTTTACTTATGAAAGGAAAATAAGTATGTACATATTTTAATCATCAAACAAAAGTAAGTCTTTTTTCTTGACAGATATCGCCCATTTGAAGTATTGTATCGGGATATACGACAAGTAAAACTTTGTATCGATTCACTCTATTGGCGGCCCATGGATCGATGTGTATCGATGAATCGCCACACCACTACTTTCAGTATGTTTCCATTTCATCTGAGATGACTATATTTGTGAACACACACTCGTTTTTGTGAAAGTTTATTGAAGATTATCAAAGTTCTGTGTTGCTGACATACCTCTGACATTATTTTCACGGTAATTGATAGGTTGGTAGCTCTGACATATGGCAAGCAGATTTCACATTTATTAAGAAATTTCTGATATCCTCAATTGTGAAATCATTTCAAAAAGGGAGAATCATCCGTTCAACATATCAATAATTAATCAATGATATCAGTATTGAATTGGAAAACATCAGGAATTGATTTACTGATATTACAACATGGTGTTGATTTCTTTAAATCATAGCTGATATCATTAAGATAATTTATGATATCTGCAATTCTTTCAAGATATCATTAATATGCTTCATCATATTCTTATTCATTCATGAAATATATTGCAAATATCTATAATTATCTCTGTTTGAGATATCTTTCATTTCAAGATATCATCAATTCAGTTCATTATATCTCTATGTAATTCATGATATCTTTGAAGCAATTTAAGATACTTTATTTCTGAATAAATGTGAAAAACGGCTTGCCATACTGATGTTCATGTGGATTGGGTAATAATGCGTTCTGAACGTGTATGTTACCCGATAACAACTATATGTGAATACTTAAGTATAATGGAACCCATTGTCTATTAGTAATGGCTGAGGTTTCATGACATCCCCAGACAGGCTGACCAGAGTCTGATCACATTACATAAGTCCTCTAACCCATGTCTGCCTACATCACACCACCACAAGTAATCTGATCCATGTCTGCCTACATTACACCACCAGAAGTCCTCTTATCTTAGTCTGCCTACATCACACCACATGTATGCCTACATCACACCATGTAATCCATGTCTGCCTACATCACACCACAAGAAGTCCTCTAATCCTAGTCTGCCTACATCACACCACCAGAAGTCCTCTGAGTCTGACAGAGATGAGGCACCTGTGCGAGTTCCTCCAGTCCGGGAATCTGCAGCCTCCATCCCTCGTCATCAGTCAGGTGGAGATGCAACCTGTTCAGCTTGTACCGACCCATGACATCCAGCAGAGCCACAACCTCATCCTTGGTGTGGAAGTTACGGGACACGTCAACATGCATCCCCCCTGCACCAGAAACAATTTCATGACTGAAATGTTGAAACCGTATTAAACAATCCCCAAGAATATAAGAGCAATAATGATTTTTGCCAAGCATTTGACAAAATGTCAGAGATAATTACCAATGTTGTAAAGAAATCACACGTCACTTCTATAAAATTCCATTACTAATTTGCCAATGAATGTACAGTAAACAGATTAATATAAATTTTTAACCATATGAAGAAAAAATATCATTTGCAAAATGATGGTGATCTTCAGTTTTACAAGCACTTTAACGTTAAATTTACTTGAGTACCCATTTAAACTGTGTCAAATACACAGCACGAGAGAAACACTAATTGCTGAGGTAAATCCTGGAACAGCTACCTGTACTGGAATCTTGGATAGTCCAACACAGAAACAAGTGGGTGAGTTCCATCGGAGTACCGCAGACTGAGTAAAGACTGTCCAGCATAGAAGATCCCTGCTGGTGTTGGAGCCTGGAGTTTCACACACATGGAGCCAATATCCAGGCTATATGCTTCCTGGTTGTCAGCACACTTAGGATCCTCTGGAGCCACGGAGCCTAGCATCACTAATATAGTTCTGTCACGACCAGTTGCCTCCACTTCACTGCCATCTACCAGGTTTAGCCCAAGTACCTCTGTAACAGTCCACGAATGAGGTTCAACTCTGTTTCGAACATGTTGAAACCTTTCTGAGTTTTCATGGTTATAACACATACCATTTTCATGTGAATGTTTCATATCTATTACATTTATGATCTATGCTACTGCTGCAGATGATCAACCAAAATGTCATTTTGAAAATAAAAATACATACGTCCTTTGACCACTGGTCAAAATGAAAGACCCTGAAAGCTAGATGACTGACTGACTGACTGAGTTTGGTTTTACGTCGCTTTTAGCAATATTCCAGCAACATCATGGCGGGGGACACCAGAAATGGGCTTCACACATTGTGCCCATGTGGGGATTTGAACCCGGGTCTTCGGCGTGATGAGCCAACGCTTTAACCATTAGACTACCCCACCGCCCCGAAAGCTAGATGAACTGTTGCAACACTGCAATGCAAGATTCTAGAACTATATTATTTTAAACCTTCTAACAGTTTTGGGGTGAGCAGTGTCTCAAAACAAACAAACAATAACTTACTAAAACTAGAATAAGAAATTGCATGTACAACGTCTTGCATTAAGCAGTAATTGGCGAACATGGTTGCCCTGTATTAGGGATGAGTCGACCTGAGCGGAGCCCTGATGGCTCCAGGGATCTTGCATACCTGACAGGTGTGTGGCTTCAGGTCTCACTTGGTCATGTGACCAGACAGCCCATCCAGGCTCCTGTAGATTGACAGCGTTGGATGACTTGAACTCGAGCTTATATGGTGTCGGAACTATCAGGTTCACATCTGTTCAAACATAACAACAATCTGACATCTAACAGGTGTTTCAGTGAAAAATACACAGTGGCAAACATCCTAGAGGATTTTACATGTGTGTCAATATAATACACGTATTCATGTAGGGAATGACCAAAGATGTGAGGTGAAGCAGGCTTAATGTCATGTACAAGAATATTTCACTAATACAGTTATAAACTAGATACCATACCCCGTTTTCATTACGGATACCTCATTCAGGCACATTATACTGATACCACTCCTTGTTTTATCCCAGAATGCCGCATTAGTCTGGTCAAGAACAAGTACAACCTTTCACCTTCTTTCGGTTTGTCAAACACTGATTGTCCACTCTTGAAATTTCTAAGAATTTAAGTAAACAATTGGAGTGAAAATTAGAAATCCATAACAATGCCATGCACATCTCAGTGTATAATTCAGGTTTTTCCTTGATGTTGTGACAGAAGAATTATATCACTGGGCAACTACTGTAAACAGTAAACAAACCTGCTTTCTTGCCTCCTGTATTTGCCTCATTGTTCTGGAAACGAACTTCCGCACTCCAAGGATCATACAGGTCCCTCCTTCTTTGACCGTTACTCATCTCATAATCAAACCTCTTCCACTTGCTGGGGGTGTCAAACCTTGAGACAAAGTCCAGGCTCTCTCCAGTTGTTGACTTGATCAAACGGGGTTCCAAACCCTCAGATGTGAGGTACCAATTGGGGAATACATCTGTCTTTGCAACAGAATAGTACTGGGCCTTAAATTGGATTTCAATGGTTTGTCCAGTTTTCAGTGTGGCAAAGCCTTTTCACAGGTTCAAACATGAACAAGCAGCCATTGATATGTTTCACCTGAATTTTCACATCTTCGTACACATGTGAGTTTGCCACAGGCAAAACGTCAGGCTCCATCATCCGTAGGTGACAGAAGTATATTCCCCATTTACCATAGCCCAGGTCACTGGAGGAGTTGTTGGTGATGTGGATAGTGCCACGGTAAGCACCTCGGCCATCACTCAGATTGTCCAGCACTGAGTAGCGAATGTCTAATGTGTTTGCAAATGTATTTAACATCGACTGGTCCATTTTGTTGATAATGGCGAAGAACTTCTGAAATATACAAGAGCTGAGTAAGACAATACATTGTACATAAAACCAAGAAAGAGTGGAGACAAGTCTAGTAAATATAATCTATCACACCTTTCTGCTTTGGTGCCATATTTGTTTGTATCATTTCCTCAAACACCGAAAGGGTTGTGGGGTAGACTAGTGGTTAAAGCACTAGCTTCATGCAGAAGACCCAGGTTCGATTCCCCACATAGGTACAATGTGTGAAGCCCATTTGTGGTGTCAACAAGCCATGATATTGCTGGAATATTGCTAAAAGCGGCGTAAAACCATACTCACTCCCTCCCTCAGACACTGCATGACACCAAAATAGAAGACATGCGTAATACAAAAACTCTTGTAATTCTCCAACAAGATGATCTCTTGTACCAGGGATACAGATAAAGGCTGTATGAACGTATGTACGGATAAAAAAATGCACGATACGATAAGAAATAATTTAGAAAATGTAGCACATACGCACCACTGCATTGCTGCACTGTTTTAGAATCATTTACAGACGTATTTATCTGAAAAAGTACTGTTTTATTGTTTATTGATCTGTTTACACAAGAGTAGCAATGTTGTGGTGCATATATGAAACGAAACACAAGATTATCGATTCGCAAAATTCCATTCAGTACTCTAAATGTACTCTTAAGTTTTTCCAGTACTCCTATATTGCAAAAATAAGGAGTACGTACTCCTGATGTTGAAAAATTATCTGTAGCCCTGTGTACTACAACTGACATTATATGTAATAAGCAATAATGATAATGAAGTTGACATCAGTGAATAAACTAACGGATGGTAAAAATCATGAGTAATACAAAAACTCTCGTAACTTACAAACTGATCTCTGGTGACTACAACTGTAACTATGTGTAACAGTCACTGACATCAGTTAATAAACAAACACATGGTAAAACAGTGTTCAGAGGATTATCGCAGGATTATTCTCTGAACAAAACAATGGCAAATATTTTATTCAAATTACTTATGAGCATGACATAATGAGATTATTGATTGAACTGTCAAGTGTATGTTTGAAGTCCTAGAGACACTAAGTAAAATTTAAAAAGGTATCTTAATGAATGAATGAAACTTTACTCCGATGTTGAAAGACATATGAATAAATATATTTTGTTTTAGCAGCTACTGCATGCATCATTACTAGTTGGCTTAGTTTGACATCTGCCTATCATGAGACAATCTCTGTCTATAGCTAACACAGCACCTCAGCAAGCAGCCACTGCACAAAAATTATGCCAAGTAGAAATGAGCCTGTACTTCAATTAATTGCTGAAACTTAACTTTTCATGGAAATATTGAATTCTTTCCAGTTTCAAGTAATTTTGGTCAGTTTTTATCAATGTCAAACTGAAACTGCATAGCATGACTGGGTGCTGTCAGATAAATTCACAATGTAATGTTGATGTGTTGTATGTGATCAGGCTTGGGTCTTGGACAATTGCCACCCAAAACATTATTGTCAGAAGTTACCACATAAAATTTACATTGTAAAAAGTGGGAGCAAACTATTTTAAACAATGAAGATTTATCTGATGAATTATAACAAAATGCCATTTAGATGTACCAATGACAGTAAACTACAGTGGTTCCAATATAGAATATTACATCACATCTTACCAGCAAATAAAATGTAATTTAAAATTGGATATATGGATAAATTAAAAATGCAGCTTTTGCCTAGACGAAAATGAGACACCTGATCATATTTTCTGGTCATGCAGCAAAGTTAATCATATCTGGCAAAACTTAAAATCTGTCTAAATCAGAAAACTCATATCAATATACAATTAACAAAAGACAAGTATTGCTTGGTTTTCCAGACCAAAGCAATGACCCTCTCAATATTATTATCATCATCTTTAAATGCACTACTTCACACCACATTTCTCTAAAAATAAATAAAGCATTTCTCTCAATAATGCTAACTGTTAGCCCTCGGGGAAGCTACCATATCAGTTATTCCCCCAATTTTTTATATATTTAGATTACAATACTGAATTAAAAAGTTTGTATGAATTAATGTACTGTTGCATTAATCTACCGGCTGAACATTATTTCAAGGGAACCCCACAGAGTTATATCCCTCGGAGCACACTTTACGAATATCATATATCTCCTTTGGAGACAGAACTCAGTCCCAGACAAAATGACGCTAATCTCTGGTGCAAAACATACACGGAACTTGTGACTGAAACCAGATCGGCAAACACCAACAACACTGCATGCGACAGTTTTAGATGGAGCAATTGTTTACATTCTATATATGGCAAGTGTTCTCTGTTTGAAAGCTGTTCGCCTCGAGTTTCAATTATTGATTTCAGGCGTAAGTCGTAAGGGATAATAAGTCTTTTATTGCATCAATAGGAAGCTAAAGTGAGTGCATATGCCCCTTTAAAAACAATTTTGGGAAGCAGATTCAAAAACAGTGCGCCACCTATTCATGTTTTCCAGAATGAACTTAGACCTTACTATATAATAACTAAGTTTTCTTCTTTAATGGAGTGCAATATCAGCGCCTTTTAGAAGTTTGGGTCTTCATGTCATGGGGATTGTTAATATAATTTGTTAATCGTGTTTGTATGATTTACGCAAAGCGATATGTCCATTGTTGATTTTTTTTACAAATCTGTAAAATGTTGGATTTTTTTAAACCAATAAAAAAACTTTTTTTTAAAAACGTTCTATACTGACAGTAACACACTATAAGTTATACTATAAGAACTTGCATGAGCTTCAATACTATGCATATGATATTGACACCTTGTAACAAAAAGTCAGTCACAAGCACAAAGCTGAACATACCTTTTACACAATAAGTATAAACATGTTAGCAGGCCCATAGATTCTTGAGGAATGCAACAGCTTGAAATCGGCCAGTCCAATTTATATTGTAAAAGTATTTACCAAAATGTAGTCAAAGCATTACGAGTTTACATACAGTGAAAGACATAAGAATCAACGATGCGGGGGCGGGGTGGGGGTAGGTATACACTACAACAGAAATTATTGTTATAAATTTTAAGCGTCCTGTTTGCCTGACTAGGGTCCTAATATGGAACAAACTAAACAATTAAAGTAACCTGTTCACATGGACAAATGGCATTACATGTAGATGAGTTCCGTGGCAGCAGCGCTGCTCCAACTTCACTAATTTCCCGTCATTCTTACCAATCAATGAGGTACCGTTACTTCTGAGGAACAGTGCGTGTTCATCGGATACGGCATTTCAGTCCAGCCACCATTTTGTCCCGTATTTCGTCATGTGACCAAGGGCTCAATTCGAACAAAACAAGGGGTTTTATCGGGCGAAGGTGGGCTGAGACGAGGGATTCAAAATGCTCCTGATGACGACACATTTAATTTGTTTACGTGATTATCTATATTCGTCAGTTGCATTAACTTCTTTTCTCTTTTTGGAACACACCTGGAGACACCCTCGATTATCTAAAACATAGTTGATAAATGGACAATGGTACTGTAAAATGGGTGAGGCAATTTCCTTTAAGACATTAGAGCAAAGTTAATATCGACAAATATTATCATATTTACGCCCGTCAAACATACAGAAACGTATTAACGTAAAACAAATTTTACTAAGAAATAAAGCTGCTACTCCCTATGTCACTAACAACGTAAATGTTCCTGTGACGGAACACATTGGCACAAACATCGGCCGCTCTACAAGAGTGCCCTTATGAAAGCGACTGGAGCTATTTTAAATGAGAGAATAATGGATATGTATGTTGTATACCTTGTTGTATTGTGTGTAAATGATGTTTATGGGCATTTCACTATCAAACACTGCTTCAGTCATATCACAAAGGCACACGTGGAGTCAAAATCTGTTTACCTTGTTCAGGAATACAGTGCATGCAGTGACTTGTATGATATGGCGTGTTGAAATTGAAGATTTGAAATGATTATTCATAAAAAAAATGTTATAACCATCAAATAAACCATGCCATTTCTGGTGCCCATTTCTCAATCTATGTCAAAAGTAATGGCTGCGCTCATAGCCACATTTAAATGAGGCTGAACATGTTTTTTTAAAAGTATTTGATTTAAACCAAACTATCAAATGGCCTGACCCTTGTATACAACCATGTTGTGTTTACAGTTAAGGCAATATGTGATGTTGTTCCCAGTGTCTCCCGGCTCCCATTTGTCAAACGGATAATATAAGAATATGCTGAGGTTGACTGCACACAAGTATCTCATACCTCTAGTGTAGAGTGGAATATTATTTTATTACATGTATAGGATTATATTGTAGGAGTTTTGTATACTTTTGTTGTTGTTGTTGTTTATGCACATTCACCTTTGGGTTCATCGATGCACATTTTCTTCAGACAAATAAAATACATAAATACATTATTACCTATCTGCCTTTATGTACAGTTAATCTGGAAATAAAAAACATGGATGTTGGTGCAGACGTATTTCATTATTTGCGGTGTTGCACCAGTGTATATATCCCTTTTTTTTCTTATGTTGTTGTTTTTGTTTTTTTGGTTGTTTTGTTTTTGTTTTGTTTTGTTGTTGTTTTGTTTTGGGTTTTGGGGTTTGGTTTGGTTTCTTGTTTGTCTTGTTTTGGTTGGGGTTTTTTGGGGTGGGGAGCCGATCAGAAAATCAGGAATTCCGCCTTCTTTCTTAAACGCCTTATTCCCAAAAGAGATAGTAAGATGTCTTCAGTTATGTTTACACACAGGTGGTACCATGGAGTTGTTGATTTGACATATTGTTTTCTCAGAAAACGTCTCTTAGCAATCGCTTCCATTTTTGACAAATTGTCTTCAAACTCTGAATATATATATCTTTCTATCAGTTTCTCAGAGGAGCGTTGGGTCCAGTACGTTTCCCCGAGCTGGCAAATATGAATTGAGCTTTTTCTATAAAAGTCATTAATATGACAGTAGTTTCAGTAATTTTTGTTCCTCACACGCAATCGATGACCTTGCACAAGATAGATCGATAGAAGTTCTACCATAACGAATAATTTCTAATACTATTTTACTAAACTAAGTAAAACATTGAAGTTGTATGTATGTTTTGTAGAGAATGTGGTCTGATCTTTCACCCATTAAAGTAAATTCATTTGATGCCATTCCAGTACAGGCTAGGAAACGGGTTACAATTACAGATGGGACAAAGCGGAATTGCCTATATTAAAGCCACTCCTGTGACTGGAAAGTGTCCATCCCTAAACAGCCCTTGACCATTTGGTATTGTGTCTTTGTACGTAGTAAGTCAAAACGTCGCCGAAACTATCACTCAAGTATCACGTAGAAAAAGACGTTTCATAGTTTTTCTTAAAATATGCGCAATCACTCCCGTATTTCCACAAGGCTGGTTCAGATGTCAATCAGATTGTTATTCCTAACAATACACAAACAACCATAAAATGTATTTTTAAGAAATTCAACAACGTATACATTATCAATGGGGGCGGAGAAGCTGTTAAACACAGAAAGAATCCACAATCACGAAACGGGAATGGTAAAATGGGTTTGGTTGAAACTATGAATAAACTATGCCTTTTAAGTAACGTGCTATATTTGGGATTACACTTTTCCAGTAAAGTACAGGTTATAGTACTTTTGGGATTGAGTCCCATCCGGGATTCGAACCCAAAGTCTCAGAGGCAGGCGCCTGATCGCCAGCACGTAAAGGCAGCGAGCTGACCCACTGAGCCAACGCGGCTTCTACATAAAATGGAAGGCGGACAGCTGGTAGTGTAGATCCAAACATCCAAAGCTATGAATAAACGGTGCATTTTACAAAGTGATCAAGTACTGGAAATCGTGTTTTACTGAGGTGCAATCCCAAGTATAACACACATGGCAGTTTTCAGAAATGTGTAAATTCGCCACACGGGTTAAGTAGTTTATGTTGTTGTAAATATAGCATATGTATGTATTGTATTTCTAATATCTTCATAACAGAGTGCCAACTTTGAAAAAAGGTCGAGTATCATTCATGTAAAACGATCGGCTTGTTAGAAAATCTTCGAACCAAAACGTCTTGTTACATAACGATAAAACACTTTACCAAATATACTCCCTGTGATAAACGTATCCTTTTTTTTCTATAGTCATAGCATCTTATGATGTTTTTACATCATAATGCGAAGGAATATATGCGATAGTATGCAAAGCATAATATACAATTCATAGCAATATTAATTAGTTAACTGTCCTATGCATCATACTAATCACCGAGGAATCTTATTATGTAAACGAATTTCTGGCTTTAGAATAATGATGTATTCTAGTCCTTAAGATAAAGTTAGTAAAAAACAAAAACGATGGATACGGGCATCAGGTGGTTCGAACGCGTCACATTGTGACACATCTTGTACTTGGGACAAATTGAAAATAACTTCCCCTTGTCGGCCTTGACCAAGTATGTAACCACTTATTCGGTTAACAGTGTGGATTTATTAAACAAAACAAAATCTAGACAGTTACATTGTCATCAAGTACATTGAAATATACAATTACAATTATGGTCTAAAATGTAATTTACTTTTTTATGATTTGTAGCTATTGTGCTTATTTAGCGAATATATTTTGAAAAAATTGTAAATATTCGTTTGGAAAATAGTAGTAACCTCAACTTGACCCGGGCGAACGATATTCTACCACTAACACAGCAGACAGCAACTGGCAGCGATGTTTTCCAGGGCATGTCTACAGGGTGCACGGAGGGGTGTAAGCATATCTGTGTTTTTTTTACACTATTCTACTGGACATACGTCACATGTAACATTTATCAATGTTACGTGGTAACAAACCTCCCCCTACCGAACCAAAGTATCGTCGATATACAAGCACTGACTGATCAACATCTCGCTTTCATAACATGTTTATTTTTGTTATACAACAGCACTGCCTCCGTTTATTTTCATGTTTGCACATATTTTGATTCAGTCGTTTCCTGTTCAGTTTAAAGTTTAACGGGATCAGTTTAATGTCGCAACCTTTGCGAAACATACTGGTGAAAGCTTACGCTTTATGAATTCTTCGAACGTTGGACTTTGACCTCAAGATGACATATACTGCCTTTTGGGGTTCTTTAGTTACCTAACAGTTCGAAACATAAAGCATGTTATCTACATTGTGTGTCGACTGAACGATTGTGATGTTTTGGTATATGAAATAAAAAAAGAGATTTCTGTTTTATTTACCAGGCTACAGTAACTATGGTAATACTGATGCCCCATTTTGGACAGGGTCAAGATACTGTTGATTGCAGCTTAAGGATTCTGATAGGCATTACTACTTACTACCAAGTGCCATGCCTTTTGGCCTAACTTTAGATTTTTGCACCTCAAACTTTACAAACACATCTTACAATACCCTTTGTCATAATTTGCGAAATTTGTTTATAAAACTCAATGGTGAATCTGCTGGGGTTTTTGAAGCATCTCTCAGTGATTTATCATCTCTCTATATATGTTATTGAATAAGCCAAGTGATGTTGAGGGTTTTCAGTATTTGTTAAAAGCATATAGCATGCAGTGGCACATTTTTTAATCAAGGGCAAGCACTGATGTTTTATGTATAGTTCATATTTCAGTTCAACTTACTCCATTAGGTTAAAAGGATTATCAATGTGTGTATTATTAGTTTATTTCATGTTTCTCATTTTTATGCAACCAAATTCTTTAAGTAGCTCTATATATTGAATCTGCGCACATCTAAACATTATCAGTCCGAATACTATCCATCGAGGGACATCTTTTGCAATTATCAGTTATAAGAGTTTTAGGTTCCTGTAAAAACGACGACAAAGAGATGTACTGGAGAATTAAGGGGCTAATTTTTCGGTTGCATTTATATTTTTCCTGCAAAAAATACATTGTTAGAATAGGATGTAATGCCTTTGTGTAAACAATTCTGACTAATGAAAAATGTCCTGGAATTTTCACCTAAGGTCAATTTCAGTTGATCTGTAATGATTCAAAAGCCAACTCATGCTCTTTGCATCAACAGCCATGTTTAAACCTTCCCTGTTCCTTGCTATGACCTGCCGTTACAAGTTATATCAGCTCCTTCCACTCAGTATCTTGTAGGTTATGGATTCAGATGAGTATGCCAAATGGTATCGGGATCACCTGCAAGTGTCTGTAGACAACATGTCTCACAGTCTTTACCTGTGACCTGCATAATTCTCTGTAACAGCATCAGCAGGTCTGATTATTAAATTTAGCCACAACCTGACAGTGTGGACATAGCTCAGTTTGTTACCTGTCAGGCTAACATTCCGAGGGTTACAAGTTCACGTCTAACAGTTTCTTACAAAACTGGCTGCTTGTCTCAGTGGCATCTATGTGATGTGTGACCCATAGCAGATATCATTCTCACAAGAAGTTGTGCTGTATTCTAAAAGTGCTCCCTTGTAACGTTTTGTGTCATTCCATGTGAAATATCTATGTTGATCTGTGATATACATCTGTATGTAACTGGCATCATTTGCAGGTGCATGTCTACAAGAGATTCAACAGCACACTGGTAGTTGTGGAACACAACAATGAGAAGGTGACTCCAATCACTCTCAATACCATCACAGCTGCTTCAAAACTGGGTGGTGAGGTCTCCTGTCTTGTAGCGGGATCACAGTGTGCTAAGGTAACTCTTGAAAATTGAAGCCTCATGCATGATTCAATATAATAATATTGATCTTCACGTATTAATATATATTTTACTAAGTACAGGGCCAGTAGAGAAAAAGAGACTTAAAATAAATGCTTTGAGTGCAATGTTGATGTATTGTGTTGAATTTCCTATAGACCTAAAAAGATGCCCTGTTAAAAAATAAAATACTTTTCCAATTTGCCCGCAAAGAGTAATTAGTTCCAAATACTAGAAAAGCCCAAACCATAGTTATTCCACACACATGGTAATGTGGAAACTTTCTCAGGAAAGACTGTAGTCCAGATTAGCCACGTTTCACTCCACCAAATATATACAGTGGAAGCCCTCTAAACCGGCATTCGTTGGGGCCGGCACAAAATGCCGGTATAGAGGGTGTGCTGGTTTAGAGGGCGGTTTATGATCATAATTTAGCTTCTACCGGGACCAAGTTCTAGTGCCGATATTGAGAGTATACCGGATTGGAGGGCTGCCGGTTTAGAGGGCTTCCACTGTACAGGGTTTTCTCGTTGAGCATATAAACATAGAATGCGTTGATTTGATGCGTTTTCTTCCTTAGAATGCTGCTGAGTGAAGAGTGTGTTTGATATTCACAGGTTGCAGAGGAGGTAAGCAAGGTAGCAGGGGTGAAGAAGGTCCTCCTGGCTGATAATGATGCCTTCAAGGGGTTTCTCCCAGGTCAGTTTCTACATTAACTGTACTATGACTTGTGTTGTAATCTTATCATGAAAATAACTTCCATACGTAAGTTTGATGAAGTGTCATCTGACAAAAATAGGATACATGGAATATCATTTTGTGTAGTCATGGCAGGAATTGCTTAGAGATGTTTAGGTTGACAAATATACAAACTGAATTATCAATAAAATCTGAGGGTTTGTTACATGTGTGTGGTTTGTGTTTTAACAATATGTCCCCCTACATACCACATGTTAGATGAGACAGCATGATGTTAATCATTGCACATATCTGTTCAAAAATACACAGGGATCACATTGTCCAGTTTACAAATCTGTTTTATTGTAAACTTTGTACTCATGCAGTAAATTAGTCAGAAAGTGTAAAGCAGGTAGCTACAGTAACCTTGCTGTTTGTTGAATAACTCATACACATGTGGGTATATGTCAACACTATTAACATGACAGTAAAATTATGCTTACTTGTACTAAGTAACTTGTCTGTTGAACTTTGTCAGAGAAACGTTTGCCAATGTTTAGGGTAACTATTAAGTTCAAGAGTGTTTTAGTGATATAAGCATCTTCTGATTGCACTAAACCCCAGGGTTTGATTCCCAAATTCGGACAATGTATGAAACATATTTCTTGTGTCCTGTAAGAAGTCATGTAAAGCCCAAGTCACTCATTCACTCAATCACTCACTATCCTTTGTGAAAAGGAAAACTGAAAAAAGACTGTGCGTTCACAAAATCCAGGGGATTCAATTCTGTTGTTGTGAGTATTGCTCTTTATGTTTCAGAGGCCTTAACTCCCCTTGTACTGGCCACACAGAGCCAGTTCAACTTCACACACATCTTGGCAGGCTCCACAGCACTTGGAAAGGTAATATTCAGTATTTATGCTGTTTGTTAAGGCTGTTACGATTCACTCGCATATTAGGTGAATCAAACTGTAGCCCTTCATGAATTCAATTCGTTATTCGTGGTCACCAGAACCGAATATTAACAAATATATGCAATTTTTTTAAGGGATTGTGTTTTACTTGAACCATTATGTCCTTTTTAAAGTGAGATATGCAAGAATGGAATATGTACTAGCCTTGTAGTAGCGCACGTTATGTTAGTTTGCCAAGGTCGCACATGGTGCTGTTGACTAACTATTACATACCAAATTTGAGTGTCATGAGATCATTGGTTATTGCTGTGACAAATTAACACTATCAACATGAGCGTTCCACTTTGTGCATCAATCAATTAACTATAATATTGTATTCATGAATAATTATTCGTATTCGTTACCCAATATTCGTGATACGTATCATATTCGCCAAATAGTGTATTCGTTGCAGCCCTACTGTTTGTATCTTGAGATCTTTAAGAGGAATAGAGAAAAATTATTAGAATAACACATGATAAAGATACTGTGTCAATTACAAAAAACTCACCCAATTACTCATAAGTCAGTACAATATATCTTCTGTCCACAGTAATATTTACATAATTGTTTCTTATCTTGACTCATGATCTTTGCTTATCTCCCTTTCCCTTGCGAATGGTAGTGGAACACTTGAATCCCTTGAAGTTCCCGAAGCTGACGTAAAACTACAGTTCACCCATGAGTTACTTCCCTTTTGCCCTTTCCCGTGCAAACAGTCATGTGACCAGCCTTACTTGTCACTCTCTCCCTTTTCTCCCAAGTGGATGGTTGGGCGAGCACTGGAGTCCCATATACGGCATTATATCCTTTTATTTAGATCCTATTCTTCAAAATTATGCTGTGTATGGATTTGGCAATAACTACATTGTATTATATGTAAAAAATATTGTAAAAATTATTTGTATTTGTGTCATAATTTCATCATTATGTAACGTTTACATTTCATGAAATCTTGCAGTGTTTGCAGGCACAGGTTATCCGTGGCTGATTCTCACCCCTAATGCCCCTCGTGCATAAAACCATGTTCTTCCAGCTTGCGCTGTACTTATTGTGTTGATTTATCAAATCTACAATTTAATCGATATTTGTTTTATATCTATAGACGTGCCATGGATCGGGTGAGGAAGTCATCTCAAGTCACGCCTGATAAAACAGGAGATCAGCCTGCAAACCGTATGTTGCTTGCTACTGCTGAAATTCATAATACTGGTGCTATGTTGAGTACGTTGCAGGGGCAGTCTGCTGGTATGGGGGCTAAGAAGAGATCGGCTACAACGCAGTTGACTCTGACTCAAGCTATGAAAAAGACGTCATCCTCTTCTACATCGCAGAAGAAAGCATCTATTACCTGATTGGAGGGTAAATCCATGCGGGCTAGTAAGTCAACGCATCAGAAATCCTTCAACGAAGAGATATTACCTCGACATGAAGTAGACGTTTTTGATGATCCCCCACTACTTCTACCCGAAGTACCTATGAGATCAGCGACTCAGTCGACGTCTACAACTACTAGATCTCTCCTGCAACAGTCACAGCAGGACAACTTTTTGACGAACTACCACCTACCTCTCAACGCAGTGAAGTCAAGGCACACAACTCATCAGCATTCTCGAACGCTTCTTCTACACCACAGCAGCTTCAACCAACGCAGAACTTTGACCCCGGGTGAATTTATGAGACAATTCACCAACCACATGATGACCATGATGGAACGCAGGTTCGAGGAAGAAGCCAAGGCTCAGCGAAGCCTCTCATCTACCGACACCGTGCGCCAACCTACAGACCTGCACCAACCTACTGACCTGCGCCAACCTACTCCTCAGAGAACTACATCTCAAGACTATGTTGTCGAACGTACACCTTTACGAAGGTCTCCACAGTCGGATGACCCTGTCATCTTGGAGGAGGATAGAAGACATGAGATGCCTACTCATCATTCTACATCTGCGAACCCTCAACGTTCGAGAACATCGAAGGATCCATCTCCTACACCTAGCCGCTCTAGATCAAGATCTCACAGAGGTTCGCGAAGTCACTCATCACGAGACAGACGTTCGCGAAGAGAAGCCTCACATCACAGACGTTCACGAAGGGATACATCTAGAGACAGACGTTTGCGAAGAGAAAGCTCACATCACAGAGGTTCACGAAATGATACATCTAGCAACAGAATGATATATTCGGCGCTCATAACTCAGAAGAAGGACCAATACTTTTTATCGGACCATCTGGCATCTATATCTGCAGGTCTCACTTTACTACGCAGACAAGGGCCACTTGCATCCTGTTCATGGAGTGACAGATTCACCCAACCGCTACTGAGAGCTCCATGGGAGGCGCCTACTATCTTTGGAGGACAAATAGACGATGCAGCTAAGGAAGCTACGCACGACTCTAGAGAAGTTATGATGATAAAATCCATAGATACTCTGGCCAACGTCATCCGTCATACTTCACAAAAGTATAACAGCAAGTCCAAATATTCCGGCATACAGAAGGCAAAGGATAAGAAGTACTCCAGCTCCAGAGGCGGCAAAGGATCTTTTCGTCGCGCTGGAAATTACAGAGGAAACTCAGGGAGAGGCCGCACTCCCAGAGGATCCAGAGGAACTAGACGTTGATATCAGGGTTCGGAATGACTGGAGTCTTCTACCCCCAGCCGTTCCTGTAAAACCATCGACAGTGGGTGGACGTCTACAAAGGTACTGGACAAATTTGGGAATACTAGAGGACGACTACGTCTCCCAAGTACTACGAGAAGGCCTCACCTCCGCTAACCCTCAGCCCGATGGTCTTTGACTATGCAGAGGAGCAGGCAGACAAACTACAAGAAGCCATCAACGCATTACTTATGAAGGAGGCGGTAGAGATAATAGATCAGCATCATCTCACTCCAGGCTTCTACTCCCCAATTTTTCTAGTACCAAAGAAGAACTCCAAGGAGAAGTTCAGACTGATTTACAACATGCTCAAATTCAACAAAGACTATCTACTGAAACCAGACAGGTTCAGAATGATCCACCTACCTCAACTCAGACTACTCGTCCGTCCAGCAGATTACATGGCCAGCATAGACCTGCAGGATGCGTACCTACACATCCCCATACATCCGGAATCAAGAAAGTATCTACGATTCCTATTCAGAGGGCAGCACTTCCAATGGAACGTCCTACCGTTTGGAATATCTTCGGCTCCGTAGCTATTCACACGAGTAACCAAGCCTATAATCGCATATCTACATCATCGAGGTCTACGCAATGCCTTCTACTTGGACGACTGGAATTCAGGTTCACCAAGATGCCAGTCAACTCAGACTACAGCTGAACTTCACGCTTCAAGTTGCTCACTCAACTAGGATGGCTGGTGAACCTTATGAAGTCAGAGTTGGAACCAAAACAAGATCTGCAATTTCTGGGGATAAGGTTTATCACAACACAGAATCGTATTGTCGTCCCAGAAGATCGTTGGGTCAAGATACAAGTCATGATTCCACTAGCAGTCATCTCTCCGTTAACACTACGATCATGGCAAGTTCTACTCGGTCTACTAACCTCGGCACAGGACTTGACTTGCACAGGAAGGTTACAACTAAGACTGCTGCAACAGTTCCTGACAAAACATCTAGACAGCGTCGACCCAATCTTGCTGCCAGACAACCTCAAGAGGTATCTACTGTGCTGGACACACAGGTCGAACGTTTGCGGAGGGACCTATTTACAAGAGCCGGCCTTCGACACACATCTCTACGTAGACGCTTCAATACAAGGCTGGGGTGCGCATCTCAACAATCTAGTTGCATCAGGGAGGTGGTCCAAAATAGAGCAGCATCTTCACATCAATCTGCTGGAGATCAAAGCCGTGATCAACGCCTTACAACTATGGTCGAGCTCGCTGAACAACAAAATGCTGATGGTCCACACGGACAACTCTACAGTTGCATTCTCCATAAATCAGCAAGGAACCACAAGGTCTCCAAGCCTTCTACAGCTCACATTCCAGTTGTTCCACATCACGGAGGAAACAAATATCTGGATAAAGGCGTGTCACATACCCGGAGCCAAGAACGTACTTGCAGACGCCTCTCTCCCGACCACTGCACCCGTCACCTACGGAATGGATGCTCCATCCAGAAGCGTTCCGGCTCATCACAAGGGAAATAGGATCCCCATGCATAGACCTGTTTGCCACGGGGTTCAACAAGCAACTACAGACGTTTGTCTCACCAGTTCCAGATCCTCAAGCCTGGACAACAGATGCACTGAGCATATCTTGGGAAGGACTAAACGCTTACGCGTTTCCACCCCCAATATTACTACTACTACCGAAGGTTCTGCTGAAGATCAAACAGACACAGGCGCTACAACTGACTTTGGTCGCGCCATACTGGCCAGCGAGAGTATGGTTCCTAGACCTAATAGAAGATCTCGGAAGTCCAACAATCAAGTTACCAGACTGGCCGAACCTACTCATACATCCGCACACCAAGCAAGTCCACGGGAACCCGACAGCGTTCCAGCTACACGTGTGGACCGTATCAAAACATGTTTGAGGAAAAGAGGATACTCTGCCAGGGCAGCCAAGGCAGTAACGCTAGCGTTACGCAGATCTACTCGTAACATGTATGATGACAAGTGGCTGAAGTTTGAGACTTATGCAAGGCGGAAAGGCTTCATTGCAATGAAAGCTACTCATCCTCAAGTGGCGGAATACCTGTGTCATCTGAGACAGACTAGACATTTGAAAGGTTCGACATTATCTACATACCTCGCTGCCATCAGTACAGTCATTACCATGAAAACAGGCATCAAGTTGACGAAAGTACCAGAATTACTTGCTCTGCTGAGATCTTTTAAACTGGAGGACCAGCAAAAGAAGTTCAGAGCTCCGGCCTGGGATCTGAATGTAATTCTACGTCATCTTACGAGTGATGCCTACGAACCTCTATACCAGACTACCTTCGAGTTGCTGACACAGAAGACTCTGTTCCTGCTTGCGCTAGCCACGGCAGCACGAATATCAGAGATACATGCGCTGGACTTTGGTCGAACCAGATTCGACACGGGGCAACATGCTGCAGTACATCTAGGACTTAGATGGAACTTCATTGCCAAGAACCAACTACCTGGTCAGCCAGATATTCAGTTCCATGTACCAGCGCTATCTACAATCCTCGGACCAGAGGATATAGAAGACCTATCCTTGTGTCCGGTCAGAGCCCTGAAGATATATCTTCAAAAGACTGAGACAAGGAGACGAAAATTCAAGCGCGCCTGTTCATCCCATTATCAACAGAGACATCAGCAGAAGTCTCAAGAACGACGATATCGTTCTGGATGAGAGCCGTCATATTGAGAGCCTATAAAGCAGCAGGACTAGAACCTCCTAGAGCTTCCAGCCCACACGAAGTCAGAGCACTGGCGTCCACTCTGGCTCTGCACGGAAATTGCTCTATACCAGCAATTATGGAGGGCTGCTTTTGGAAGTCGGACACAGTGTTTGCCAACCACTACCGCCGAGACAAAGCCACTGAAGACGTCTCAGGCATTCACCAATTTGGGCCTCTTCTTGTAGCACAGCAACTAACGGTTCCTCAAAGGCGCGCTGAGTTGGAAAATCTCACCCTTTATCACCTTGACTTGTTGATAACTTTTACTAAGGAAAAGTATTAGTTTGAAAGTCCATGCGCACAGTCTAGAACAGGCTAGCATGAGTGATTAAAGATCCTGTATGGGTAAAGATCTTACCTGTACGTGAAGGGGTCGCAACTCATTTATGATAAAGATCTTATCATAATCTATGGGTTGTTATAAGATATCTAGTAATAAGAAGATACTAGTTTATCTGAAGCCACATGAATCAACATGATTCAACTTGTCTGAGACTGAAGTAAGACAAAAGAGTGGTCCCCCCAGTTATAACGGTAGTTGGAAGAATAGGATCAAGGAAATACCGTTTCACAATTCCCATGGGTGGGATACAGGACGTACCTAAGGACAGCTGATGAATCCAGGAAGTGGCCTGACCCACCACCAATCCGCAGGATTCTATAAGCAAAAGATCATGAGTCAGGATAAGAAAAAATATGTTATTTTTCAAGTAAAATTGATATTTTTATACTTATCCTGACTCATTAGGGAAAGGGAGATAAGCAAAAGATCATGAGTCAGGATAAGTATAAAAATATCAATTTTACTTGAAAAATTACATTATACTGTGTGGACATTGTAACCCTTTCATATTGTCCTTTCTGTTTCTCTAGATATGAGTTTTTGTCTTTACAGAGCTTAGCACCAAGGGTAGCAGCTAAGCTTGATGTGTCACCAATCTCTGATATTATTGGTATCCAGGCTGCCGACACATTTGTCCGCTCAATATATGCAGGTTAGTTGATCTACAGCATTAAGGGCTGTTCATTTGATTAACAGGCACAAATGAATTTTAACTATATAAATATGATTTATCTTTAGTCTGGTAACTGTTATAGCACTGTAGTACTTCTGTTCCTTTATAAGTGGTTGTGGGGTAGCCTAGTGGTTAAAGCATTCTCTCGTCACACCAACGTGGGTATATTTGTATACCAGATTTCAAGTGTGCCCAGCCATGATATTGCTGGAATATTGCTAAAAACAGCATACAACCCAACTCACTCACTATTTCTGTTACTTCTTCATTAAAAATTAAGTGTTTTTTAAAAACTGGTATGATGAAGGGAAACACATATTTAATAGACAGCTTCTTTGTTGCAACAGATGCGACATTTTGGTGTTGATGCTAACAATCACAACAACTATCAGTAATGTATTCACAGAGTGCATCAACCTCTTCAATTGTCTAAACTCAACTATCCTTCATGTATAAATTGTCTTTGTCCATACTGTTGTGTATCACTGGCTTGTTAGCATCTATACTGAAACATCACATTTATTGCAATGAAGAATTTGTCTATCCATAAAATTGTTTCTCTTCACTATTTCTGTACGTTTAGATATCTAGCATGCATCATGGTATTCTACATTGTTTGATACTACACGTTGTGTGTAGCTGAGTTGAGTGTGTGGTGTCTGTGTTTGTAGGCAATGCAATTCAGACCCTGAAGTCAAATGACAGCGTGAAGGTGATCACAGTGCGAGGAACAGCCTTTGATGCAGCAGACCCAAGCTCAGGCTCAGCAGCACAGGAACAAGGTATCACATCACCACAGTGTTGTTGTTTCATAATGTATTGGGTTTTGACCTTGGTCAGTGATTTATATGTATCATAATGCTTAGAAATGTGTGGCATATAGCATAAACAGTCATTAGGCCTAAACAAAACGAACTGACCTATCAACCATTAAGACCAAAACATATTTCTGTGTCTAGTTTAGCATACTTTCATGGGACTATTGCCTGCTTTTGATTTCATTGAATGAGAGGTACTTACTTCCTAAGCAGTTCTAAAGAGCATTCCCTCTTCCTCATTGCAATATGTTACATGCATGTGTTATTTAATTCTGTTCCAAGAAAAAATTGTTAAAAGTGATTTGTTTTACTGTTTTATGGTCCCTCATCTGATTTGTATTTGTTCTTCTCCCAGCTCCTGCCGCCACTCCTTCAGCAACATCAGAGTTCGTGTCCCAGGAGCTCAGCAAGAGTGACAGACCCGATCTCACCAGTGCCAAGTCAGTTATATCAGGAGGTAGGAATAATAAGTCTTGGAAAGGAAAAGTGTACCTCACCTTTAGCTGCCATGTAAGAAAATTGCCTTTAGATGCCTAAATATTCTCATACATTATTCCATCTTGGTAGGAATCCAATGCGTTTGAAATGAAACTCAATGGTTACCACAGTTACTTCCCTTGATGTGATGTGAGGGTAACCTAGTGTACGTTGTGTGGGAATTCAATCTGCATGTATATGAAAATGTTGTGTTACCTGGGTTACCTTCCTGGCTTCAGGGCGTGGTATGAAGAATGGTGAAAACTTCAAGATGCTGTATGATCTTGCTGACAAGATGGGGGCAGCTGTCGGAGCATCACGCGCTGCAGTTGATGCAGGCTTCGTCCCCAACGACATGCAAGTTGGACAGACAGGGAAGATTGTAGCGCCAGTGAGTGGAAATAACTGCACAATCAAAAGCTGATAGTTCCAAAGTGAATTTGAAAAATGAAGAATCACAATTCATTGAAAATATGTATTTATTTCCATTATCCTATGTTAGGCATCAAGTTTTTGAAGACAATACTAAATTCTTTATGACTTATAATATGTCCAATAATGTACCTATAAATTGAATTTGAAATGCCCATCTACTGGTGGTGATGACTGACGTCTCTCACTAGGACCTCTACATTGCTGTGGGAATCTCAGGGGCTATCCAGCACCTGGCTGGGATGAAGGATAGCAAGATCATTGTAGCCATTAACAAGGACCCAGAAGCTCCCATATTTCAAGTGGCAGACTATGGACTTGTAGCTGATCTGTTCAAGGTGAGGCAGGGATCCACCCTGATTGTGCTACCCAACCTGTACCTATCACCAGTTCTTTATCACCTCAAACTCACTGGGCTGATACGCAGTGTCGTAGTGACTAGGGGTGTCGCGATACGCGAATGTATCGATGCATCGATACATTTTTACTGACGATACAATACGCGATACATGCTTGCGTGTATCGATTCCTATTTTAAAACTTTATCGATTCAAATTTTTATGCTATATCCATCTCCTTCAAAGTCTTGATAGTAAAATTATACGAGACCGCTCCGATAAATAGATGTAGCTAGCTTTACTTAAAAAATAGGTTGGAAACTAACAGCTTTTGTGATTGGCTAGACTATTTTGATGGACCAATCAGCGAGTGCGCGTACGTTGCTGGTAAGGTAATGCTATGAAAAGGCGCGAAAATTATGTATAGCGATACGTATTGTATCGTGACCTTAAAATCGTGATAAGTATCGTATCGTGAGATTGGTGTATCGTGACACGCCTAGTAGTGACACATGTTGATTCTTAGTCAAGTAGTGAAATAGAGCTGTGTATAACTAAAATGAAACTTAAAAATCCCAGCTTCACACATAATACTGCTGAGTAATATTGTTTGTAAGCGTTGTTGTGCAACATGTAATGTCAAATGAGCTGTATTTGACGTTTGAAACTAGATACTATTTTGAAAAGTGTGTGTTATTCTTGTTGATGGAGGAACATGGTTTATACAAATCTGTGTTATGGCTAACAAGCAAACATCTCTTCCACAGGTTATTCCCGAGATGTCCGAGTTAGTTGACAAGAAGTGAGCAATGCTGTGGTGGTGTGAGAGTTGAGGGGTTGTCACTGCCGGGCTGTGATACACTGTATGCTAAACATGTCTGTGTTCGATTTGAATACTCTGATGTATGTCACCAATTTATTCAGAGGGTGTGTACAAGTAACTTTGTGAATGTTGAGTGAATGAAATAAATTGCACTTATCCCAGAACATGTTGGTTGGTTTTGTGTACGCCATCATTCCGATGGAAATTCTCTTTCCTCCTGCCATTACTTGTTAAGCTGTGCCTTGATCCATCAGCTGGCAAGATTTGCTAATGGCACTGACAGTTATTTTTGTCATCCCAGTGTGGATTCTGGGTTACAGTGGGTCCGAGAGACCTATGTTCATCGGAAAAGAATACTTCATGGATCAGATGTTCAGGCTCTGTGTGATTGTTGTCCTGGCACTCCAGTGGTGTAAATGATTGTTCATAATATCAGTCACCGGATTGTCAGTGACATCACAGTGCTGTCACTTGTCAGGTCCAGCTGTGATACTTACAGGCAGACATGATACAGTTGGAATATTGCAGAATGTAGGTTTAAACATGAATGGATTTTATTTGATGGGGGATATTGTGCTTATTTAAAGTGAGAAGGATTAAAATTGAATGAATATACTGACAGATGTGTAACTAAATTTCTTGATGTATTTTCATGGACAGAAATGTCTTATAGACAGACATACCTGAACAGTTTTACAATTACTAGGTACACTTTGACATTGTTGAGTGTGGGAGAAGGAGACAGTTCTTTTAACTAATGTATATCTATCGGTCACTGATACAACCAGGTATGTTTTGCAATAGAGGAATATAATTACCGCAGTGCCAGCGACAGTATATTACTAGTGGATATTGGTTTGAGCACCATCCATCCGTCTCAAAACCCGTTATAGATAGGTAAACCAAATTTCATATGTGTTTTCAGGACATGAATGCCTTGATGGAGTACCAAAACAGAAACCGTACTACAATTATTTACAGAGTTACAGCCCTTGTCATACGTTTTTTTTTGACTAAGTGCACGTTATCCCCAATTGGAACAGATTTTCTCGGTAACTGTTACAGATAATGAAACCAAATGTGGTATGTGTTTTCAGGACAGGAATGTCGTAGTGGACAAAAACAGGACCCAAATAGGAACAGAACACTGTGGCGGGGGATATTGATGACCATATAATCAGAGTATTTGACCACATGACCATTAGATGCCACTGTTTGTTGTCAGTTACCCATGCTTGATCTCTTCAATGCTTTCGTAAATGGCAGCTCTATTCTCTGACTTATCAGGAGGAATTTGAATCATTTCATCTGTCAGAATTGTAAATAAATGCGACAACCGTTTCCATGCTCATGAGAAGTCTCTGCTCTGCTAAGAAGTGTACGATCCCAATTGTATGAGCTTTTTGATCACCATCAAAGAGATGATACAAGGTACCTCACCACTCAGCCCCCCAACCAAAGTGGTACGTCTCATAAACACATGCAATGACAAGTCCATTTTTTACCTGTACAAAATCACGGGAACAAGATCGTTTGGTCACTGATGCGTCAAATTTGGAAATGCCCTCCTCATGGCTACCATAAACACTTGAACGCTTTACCAAACACCTCTGGGGCTATGTTGTAGGCGCCCTTTAATATCTTTGCAGAAAGAGTGTGTTCGATTGTACCAGTACGGTTGTGACAAAAGACCAAACTTTAAGGCTGGAGCATTAAACACGAGGAAAAATCTCCAACGGCCAGCTTATATCAAAGCCTAGTGCCACCCTTGCCCTAGTCTGTCTAACAGTCCCTGAACCACATTATTTCTCCTACTGCCTTGCCCCTCCTTGCCCTCCTGCAATGCTAAAGGAAAAGATCGTGCCACTCGTGTAGAACATAGATTATACCCATTGTGGTAACACGATATCGAATAAGATCGCTGATTACGAATGGCTTCACAAAGGTGACGTCGATCAAATGACGTAATGATTCGAGATTTAGTACCCGAGAGAGAAACAACATGATAGATTACCTCAGTCAAGAAACTTGATACTGTCTCATATGTTACAAGTAAGAGGCTGACATGCTTCTCAGTATCAGTAGCAGTAACATGAAACGTTCATGGAGTCGTTATTGTCGACAACTGAGGTCACCTGTGATTAGGTATCTAACCATATATATTATTATATATGTTATAACCAAAGCGGAAAATAACGAGTTTTCGCGGCCACAGGTACGAACAGTAATCATTAATCATAGCCTAGATGAATCCTTTATCGGCAACATTTGACAGCTGGATGTTCCCTTGTTCTATGTTCCCGTCATCGCCAAAGAGCTGTCCGGCTGTGCATGGCGATGGTCATTTATGTTATATTCAATACCCGTCATAATCAACATTCAAAGATTTTGATTGTTTAATTTGCATTTAGACGGGGGCACCCCCATTTTAATCTTTCAAAACTGTCTAGCTACTAGTATTCAAGCTGGCACTGTTTACAATATATTGAGAGCTGACATTTGTGTGACCATTCAGTATTTAGTTTGAACCCTTGGCATCATGTATGAATATTTAAAGTGAAAACATTAGAATATATTATGTCCTTATGATTCCGTCATCTGAAAGGGGTTGGGTAGTGTCTCCAAAACAAGCTTCAGTAAACATGACGGGGGAAATTACTTTAACAAGCGACTGTAGTTTCAAATTGCTTTTTTATGCACTTTAATATCTAAGTTTGATTGTACAGCTTGTTCAGATTGACCTGAGGTACTCTACATATGCATGACCCGGGAGGTCAAAAGGCACAAACGGCAGGTCAAGTTAACTTCATTAAAAAGGGGAGCAGAGAATGTTATTAATGCCTAAAAGCCCGAATCGGAAACACTTAACTATCTCTAGCTTCCTTTTTAAAGAAAGTTAGGACATTGCTGACGATTTCTCGACACTGAGATGTCAAAGGGCGACCTTGTCTCGGCTGTTGACAATGAACTGACAAAGGTGCACCCCTTCACAATAATGGACCCAACCAGTTATGACACGGTCACGCAATGCATCACTTGATCAGGTCAAGATGAGGTGAAATTGGGTTTTACGTCGTGCTTGAGAATATTTGGCTCATATGACGACGTGCATGCATGCGTGTATATGGGTATGTGCGGCTGCTTGTACTAGCCCAGACATAAGCTGGCTTTATAGGGCTTGCCCACTGAGATACCATGCCGCAGTGAAGCATGAATACCCCACTCAGACACATTATAGTGACTCCGAGCCGACCAGTCCTTGTTGTACCCATTAATGCCGAGCGCCAGGCAGAGACCAACAAGTGCCATATTTTAACGTCTTTTGGTATGACGCGGTCGGGGATCGAACCCGCGGCCTTCCGCCCCCCGGGCGGACGCTCTAACCACTACACCACGGAGGCGGTCAGTTAATATGACACGGTCACGCAATGCATCACTTGGTCAGGTCAAGCTGAACAAGCTGGAGTGGACTTGTGCCTTTCTCAAACACAAAATGTTTCTTGAATATTTTGTTTCCTGATGCATTTATTGCAGCTTTTGCGTTTTTGGGGGGTACCAAGATAAAAAGTCAAACAAAAAGGGGATCGTGAGGCTGGAACATGGCAAAACCAATTTGCTTGAGGCTGACAGATAATATGTAGAAAAATAAAACATAAAATACATTTAATGTGTTATGACATTATGATATTTAATGAAGTTAATTAAATCTCAAGTTCAATATTTTTTTTGATAAATATTTTTGTACAGCATTTATATCCTCAAATATACATTTAACACATGTCAAATATCCTTGGAGTAAAGCTCACTTGTACTTCCAATCACAAGTAATCAAAGTCAAATCAATTCCTTAGATAACTCACTCGTACTTCCAATAAAAAATAATCAATAAAGTAATCAATGTCATTGGAACTACTAATTTTTCTTACTTTTGAACCCGTGAAGATCCGGGTTAGAATATTGATCTTCAGTAACCCATGCTTGTCGTAAGAGGCGACTAACGCGATCGGGTGGTCAGGCTCGCTGACTTGGTTGACACATGTCATCGGTTCCCAATTGCATAGATCGATGCTCATGCTGTTGATCACTGGATTGTCTGGTCCAGACTCGATTATTTACACACACCCGCCTTATAGCTGGAATATTGCCGAGTGCGGCGTAAAACGTTACTCACTCACTCACTCACTCACTCATTCACTTACTACTCTTCGTCCAGATATAGGCGTTGTTTTGTATTACCTTTCTTTTCAATATTGTTGCAACTGCCGCTCCTCCATCTCTCTTCTTTTCGCTGGTTCAATGAGCGTGTATTCATAGATTTACATAGAGTTAAAACAGACAGGGTTGGCTTCCAGTGTATAACGTATAAAGACTGTACACGCACCAGTATGTTGATGCAAGAGCCTTTAGTCAAACAAGGATTGTTTTCTGTACTTTTTAGACCGCCTCCGTGGTGTAGTGGTTAGAGCGTCCACCCGGAGAGTGGAAGGTCGCGGGTTCGATCCCCGACCGCGTCATACCAAAAGACGTTACAATATGGTACTTGTTGGTCCCTGCCTGGCGCTCGGCATTAATGGGTACAACCAGGACTGGTCGGCTCGGAGTCAGTATAACGTGTCTGAGTGGGGTATTCATGCTTCACTGCGGCATGGTATCTCAGTGAGCTAGCACTATAATACCAGCTTCAGTCTGGGCTAATACAAGCAGCCGCACATACACATACACACGCATGCACGTCGTCATATGAGCCAAATATTCTCAAGCACGACGTTAAACCCAATTTCACCTCACCTCACCTTCTGTACTTTTTGTTTCCATGACAGCAAGTGCAGTCGGTGTCATGCAGGTGGACATACAGTTTGGGTGAAGGCTGCGGTCAGATTAAGGCAAGCTTGTTAGACTAACGTGATCATGAAGAAATCAAGAACTACTCGTTCCTTGATTAAAGAGGCAAGACATCTTCATTTCCCCGAGAGATGCTTGACTGACTCATTAATACATGAAACACAGATGTTACTTAGGAGTCAAGCCAGTGAAAGGACCGACAGGAAGCTCATCAAATGGGGTCTTTCTGAGCTATAAGGTACTAGTTTCAAACTGTCGCTTTCAAGACGTACACGCCTTGACCTGAGAGCTCATGGTGTACAAGTTGATTTGACCTTGTAAT